GAAAGCAGAGCAGTTAGAATGGGCGTGAGATTGGAGTTGGGGTTAGAGACGGTGATAGGGGTGGGTTGTGTGCGTGGTGTGGAGTGTTGCTTGGTTTGGGATGGCGCGGGCTGGTGTGGAGAAGGGGAACGGGTTTGGTTTGATGTGAGGTGGGAAATGTGTCAGGGTTGAATTGGGGATGGGAGTAAATTTTGTTTGGGATGCCAAACACGTGACGACTGGGGTGGGTTGTATTGGAAGTGAAGATGGGCGTGGCTCTGGTTCAATTTCAAATGGGGAAGATGTGGGGTTGAGTTAGAGTGGCATGGGGTGGGGTTGGACGTGGGTTGGCTGAGTCGCGTTGAGTTGAGTTGGGTTCCGGTTGAGTTGGTTTGGGTTACACTGAGTTGAGTTGGTGGCGTTGGACTGGATTTTGACTGAGATTGTGCATGTTGATTAGGATGGGGATGAGGGCACTGGATCCAGAAGGTTCCCACTCAAGCTTCCTCTTCTTCTCACAGGGTGACTCCGGGGGACCCCTGGTCTGTGGGGGCGTCCTGCAGGGCATTGTGTCCTGGGGTGACGTTCCCTGCGACACTACCACCAAGCCTGGTGTCTATACCAAAGTCTGCCGCTACTTGGAGTGGATCAGGGAAACCATGGAGAGCAACTGACTGTTCTGGCCTAACCGCCGGTGTCCCTGACTGAGCAGAAGCTCCCACGGCTGGCCAGCAGACCCGTCCTGACCTGGGACAGAATTAAGCCATTCCCCAAGACCCCATTTGTCCAAGGCCCAGATGCTAGCCAAGGACTTGTCCCGTCTCAGGCCAGAGCTGGCGCTCAAGGCCACCTGTTTAACACCAACATAACAGAGAGTGCTGATGCAAATTTTTCTGTGACTTTCTTCTGAGGGTGAAGGGAAATGGGGGACAGAGGCTGGGTGGGGACCTCAGAGCCACCGAACACTGTTCCTTTTCACCTACCGCCCTAATCCCTAGGTGAAGAGAAGAGGCTTGAAGGAGGACTCTGTTCATTCAGCACGTAGGATCAGCTGTGTGATCTTCAGCAAAAGACCCAACCCCACTCAGCCTCAGTTTCCTCATCTGTAAAACGGGGATCGTATTGCTTACCTCATAGGGTTGTAAGGATTGAATGAGGAAATTCATATGAAGTGATTCAAATAATGCCTGGCACTGGGAAAACACTATATATCTGTGGACTCTGGTGAAAGGACCCACCACACAATAAATTATCAAGAATGACTTCATTTTCTTCAAGACTTAGTTCTGGGCTTCCTGGTAGCCATAGCAAAAAGGCAAATACTCTCCTTTGCTTAGGCAGGTTCCTGACCTACCGCGGAGGCTGGGACCCTGTAACCCGCTTGGATCTTACTGAAGAGCCAAGGGAACTTGTCGCAAGCCCATGGGTTTACCATTGAGGCTGCAGGAATCCAGTTCCTGATTCTCTTCAGAGATCCCAAATACATGACTTTCAAGGTCACTCAGTGTTGAAGTACGTGAACTTGGCTCCTCAGACCTAAATAATTTATTGTTGTGGGGGTGGATTGGAATTTGAGGAGAGGACGCTCTTGACCTTGGAGGGGAGATCGTTTGGGACTCCTGGGACTTTGGATGACGTAACCTTGAGCATCCGGATTTGGAGAATAAGGAGTGGGGGATGGTAATGGGAACCCAACATTGTTTGGCGGGAAGATTGATTTTGAAATCTAGGGAACTTATCCAGGGAAACCATTGAAATTCCACGTTCTGGATCCAGGATGCTAGGATGGTGGTGATGGGTACCCTAAGCTTTTATCATGAGAGGAGCAGGAATTTGGGGGACCTAGATCCGAGTCTGGGAGTACAAGAATCAGAAAGCTATTTCAGGGGGAGCTGGAAGCTGGGAAGCTGACATCTTGGCTCTAAGTGGTGCGGGGAGGAGAGAATGAGCCCCACTGTTGGTATTTGAGGGTGCACAGGTCTTGGGGTGCATGGCCTTACTTGGGGTTCAGGTGTATGGGGTCTGGATTAGGGATTAGGGAGCAGTCTCTGCTCCCTCTCACTCTCCCCTCCCCTCACTGGCTCTGTCCCCAAGAGCAAGGCCCCAGGAGCTCCAGGCCCTGCCCCGTCTGGCCTCAGGCCCCAGGACTGCTTCTAGCATGATTGAGGGCCTGCAGCTCGACAGGTGCTCGCGCTCCCTTCCTCCTGGGGTGGGAGGAGGTGTCCGGCTCCCAGGTGGCAGGGGCAGAGCCTTGGCGGGGCGTCTGGGTTGCCAGCAGGGCAGAGGCGGGGCCCGGGGGGACGAAGGCTTTAAAACGCTCCTCCGAGAAGCTCCCCAGCTCCGAGCTCACCGCCTGGCTGCCCCTGGACGCCTTTGTCACCATGTGGCTCCCAGTTCTGTGCCTTGCCCTGTCCCTGGTGGGGACCGGTGAGAAGTGGGGAAGATGTGGGCGGGGGAGCGGGCCCCGACTCTCTGCCCTCTCCCTCCCCCCCATAGGTCCTTCCCCTGTCACCCTTCACCCTAGACTGTGCCCCAGATCAGGGTAGCAGGCTCTTTCTTCTCTCCCAGCCCTACCCTAACATCCTACCCCAGCCCCTCCTCACAGGCCTCACTCCTCCACTAGGTCTTCCCAGGACCTCCCAGAATTTTCTCCTCCTCCCCACTCAGACCCTGCCCCCAGTCCCTTTACCAAAGGGGCAGGTCCTGGGCCATCTCTGTCTCTGGGCGACTCCAGCTCTTCCAAGGACGCCCCCACCCCCCACCCTGCCAAGCCCACCAGACCCTGGGACCCTGACCACCTGCTCCTACCCTCTGGTTCTTTATGACCCAATGGTCTGGTTCCTGAGTCCCCATATCCTACCACACCCTGGTGACTTCCCTTCCAGCTGTTAGCTCTCAATTAGGTCCCCCAGATTGTGGCCTCTGGTCTCCCCCAATCCTCCCAGGACCCCCAAATACCACCAGACACCTACACTTCTTCCCAAACAGACTTTCTGGTCCATGACATCTGGTGGGCCCCCCATCCTGGTTGGGGGCTGTGTGAATGTCTCTTCCTTTCCTGACTCTTTGCCCCAGAGCTCACATCCAGTACCCCCAGCTTTCTCCCCCACGAAAAACAGCCAGAACCCCCAACCACATGCTCCTTTCTTTGTAGAATTTCCATCCTTTCTCAAACTCCAGCCCTTCTCCAGCTGAGATCCTCCTGTACAGCTCTGGTTTTCTGGGATCCCATCCCCAGGATCCCAAACACCTTCCAGCCCAGCTGTCCTGCCCTGCCTCCCCCAAGTGCCCCAACACGTGATTCTAAAGCCCCACATGAAGGGGTCCTCCCCGTGTTCCCACAGCTGCTTGGCCCAATATGCCTCCTTTGCCATTCGTGTCCTGGCACCGCTCCCAAGAGAACCCCACATCCTGCCAGCACCCTCAGACCATGAACCCCATCCCCATGGAACCACCTGGTCCAGAATGACTATCATCCGGCTCTCTGTCCTCCTGAGCCCAACCCACTTTTGACCCCAAACCTGCTCCCAGAGCCCTCACAATGCCATCCCTGGTTTGCAGGACCCCAAACCCTCACAGGATCCCTCTCCCAGCCTAACCCTTTCATTCGCTCTTGACCTGCAACCCCAACTTCTACCAACTCTCGGAGCCCAGTTGGCCCCTTCCAGTCCCAAATCCGGGGACCCCCAAATTCCCCAGCCCAGATGTTCTCCTTGGCCTCTCACACCTGATTCCCCAAATCTGTATCCTTTCCAGAACCCCAAAACTCCATCCGGGACCTCACCATTTCCTCACCTGGTAGCCCCCAACCCTCCGAATCCTCCCCCAGCTCTGAACCTCTCCCTTGGGGCCTTTATTCCTGGTTTCTGTTTCCCCTCTGAACGCACAGCTTCCTGCCCCTTGTCCGAGACCCCAAGCCACCCGACCCCCACCCTCGATGCCTGCCCCAGTGCTGTCTTGTCATCTCCTATCCTGATCCCTGGGGTCAGCTCCGCTCTCAGCATCAACTCTCCCCACCCAGGACCAGCCACCCACCCCCCATCCCAAGGACGGCTCCAGAATTCCGGGTCCTTCCCAACACCCCTTGCCCATGTCCCCAGACCCCCAGCCTGGTCCTCTGCCCACATGTCCCCCCAACCCCACAGCACAGCTCCCTTTCCTAGCCCAGTCCCCTGGCCTCTCCTGTCAGCCTTCGCCCCCACCCCTGACCCAGCCCCCCTTTCACAGGTGCCGCGCCCCCCATCCAGTCTCGGATCATAGGAGGCTGGGAGTGTAAGAACCATTCCAAACCCTGGCAGGCGGCTGTGTACCATTACAGCAGCTTCCAGTGTGGGGGCGTCCTGGTGGACCCCCAGTGGGTGCTCACAGCCGCTCACTGCAAGAACGAGTGAGTAGGGGCCAGCCCAGTGGTGAAGCAGTTAAGTTTGCGCGTTCTGCTTCAGCAGCCTGGGGTTCACCGGTTTGGATCCCGGGTGTGGACCTATGCACTGCTTGTGAAGTCCTGCTGTGGCAGGTGTCCCACATATAAAACAGAGGAAGATGGGCACAGATGTTAGCTCAGGGCCAATCTTCCTAAAAAAAAAAAAAAGAAAGAAAGAAAGAAAAAGAAAAGAACAAGTAAGTAGGATCAGGGGGTCTGGGGAGGGTGGTGTCTGTGCTCCCACAGGAATGGTCAGCCAGGGCCGTTCTCCTGGGATAACCTCAGGGAGGCTGGGGGCTGAGGGAGAGAAGGATGGCACTGGTCCAGGGCCCAGGGAGAGAGGCGGGGCTGGGACTGGACGACCCCAGGGAAGCCCTGCCATGGCTGCCTGGTCTCTCTGTGTCTCCCCATGCAACCGGCTCTCTGTCTTCCTGTGTCTCTCCCATACCTGGCTCTGTTGTGTGTCTCTCTGTGTGACTTTGATTTGTCTCTATCTTCCTCTGTCTTCTGTCTCCATGTCTCTGTGTCTCTCCCTGTCTCTGTCCATCTCTGGGTCTCTCAGCTGCCATCCCTGTCTCTGTAGGTCTCTCTCTGTGTCTCTGCCTCACTCCCTCTCCCCCATCACTGCTGAGCACACTGTCCCCCAGGATGGGACTGCAGGGGACCCCCAGAGAAGAGGAAGGGATCATCCTCAACATGTATGGGGGGGGGGACTTCTCACGCTGCCCAGCCCCTCCCTCCAGGGCGTCGTTCATTCAGTGGGACACAGGGAAGGGCTGGTTTCAGCTGGTACTGGGTGGGGGCAATGGAGGAAGGAGGAAGAAGGAGAAAGGGAGAAGGTGCTGGGGAGGGAGGGGACGCTGGCCTTGGGGGGGGCCAGGCCACCCAGCTGCTGGGGAAGCAGCGCCACAGCCCCAGCTGCCGGTGAGCCGCCTCAGGCCTCCCCTCCTCCCCTGCCCCACCTCCCGCCCCCCTTCTCTCTCACTCTGTCTCCCCTCCCTCTGTCCTGTTTCTCAATCACTCTTGACTTCCTCCGTGCCTACTCACTCCATTTCTCCTTCTCCTGCCTCTCCGCCTTTTCACTCCTGCTGTGACGAGTCTCACTGTCTTGTCTCCTCCTCCCGTCCGTGCTCTCTCTAGCTCACTGTTCCCCTGCCTTCCTCATGCCCTATATTTTTTAAGCTCTTTTTTTTCACTCCGTTTCTCTTTGTCCCTGGATCTGCCTTTCACGCTGTCACATTCTTTTTTTCCTCACTGTCTCTATTTCTCCATGACTCTAATCTTTCCTTCTCTCTCTCTCTCGCCCTCTCTCATGTTTTCTCCTTGTTCTTCTTTTCCGTTTTGGACCCTCCCCGAGGCTCCCCTGCCCCCCCCCCCTCCCGCCTCCCCTCTCCTCATTCCCTCCATCCCCCTCTCTCCCCAGCTATTACCAGATCTGGCTGGGGCGCCACAATCTGTTTGAGGATGAAGACACAGCCCAGTTCTTCCTCGTCGCTAAAAGCTTCCCACACCCTGACTTCAATCTGAGCCTCCTGGAGAACAACAACCGCCTCCCAGGAGAGGACTACAGCCACGACCTCATGCTGCTCCAGCTGGCGCAGCCCGCCCAGATAACAGTCGCCGTGCAGGTCCTGGCCCTGCCCACCCAGGAACCTGTACTGGGGAGCACCTGCTATGCCTCCGGCTGGGGCAGCATCGAACCAGATAAGTGTATGTCGGGGGCCAGACCTGCAGCCTGGAGCCCAGACCCCCGGGGGTAAGGGAGGAGGGGCTGGTGGCCCGGACTCCTAGCCTGAGGGAGGAGGGGCTGGGGGCCTGGAGTCCTGGGTCTGAGGGAGGAGGGGCTGGGGGCCAGGACCCCTGGGTCTAAGGGAGGAGGGGCTGGGGGCCAGGACTCCCGGGTCTGAGGGAGGAGGGCTGAGGACACCTGCGTGTCTTTATCTCCCTGGCCCATAGTCACATACCCGGATGAACTCCGGTGTGTGGACCTCACACTCCTGTCCAACGATGTGTGTGACAACGCCCACTCTCAGAACGTGACAGAGTACATGCTGTGTGCTGGGCACTTGGAGGGCGGCAAGGACACATGCGTGGTAAGTGAGCCTGTGCCCCCAGGGCTTCGAAGTCTTCGGGGAGGGGACTCAGATTCCGGACTGGGTGTGAGAGCAAAGTAGGCATCTGTCCCACTTTTCCCAGTTGTAGCCCCGCCCCCGTGCCTCAGCTCCCTCCCCGTGCCCCCTCGCTTTCCCAAACCCCCATCCAGACATCCCTGTATCTCCTTCCACATCATAGTTCACCCCTTCCTCCCTCTGACACATATTTATTGTCCAGTCCGAGAAAGTTTCTTGGCAGAGGTGACATCTGAGATGACCCCAAGGGTGGACGGGTCCCATACACGTATCCTGCTCCTCCTCTGCGCTGACCTGTCTGCAGGTACTGTCCTGCTGGACCCTGCCCCATGTGCAGAACCTGGACCCTGAAGACCCATCCCCATGGGCCAGGACTCGAGGCACTGTCCTCTCTGCTGGAATCTGGCTTCCCTTCTCTGGGAGTGGACTCTGGGGATAACTGTCTCTTTCCCCATAGCTGGGGGGTCGCTGGGTGTGATCGGTGAGCCCAGGTCTGAGAGCTGGGGCCCCGCAGGCAGAACCCGGGGCTTCACGGACCTCTCTCTCTCCCCCTTGTGCTGTAGGGTGACTCAGGGGGCCCGCTGATCTGCGATGGTGTGTTTCAAGGAGTCACGTCCTGGGGCCACATCCCGTGTGGCAGGCCCAATAAGCCCGCCGTCTACACCAAACTGATACCCCATGTGCAGTGGATCCAGGACACCATAGCAGCCAATCCCTGAATGCCCCCACCCTGTCCCCTACCCCCAGTAAAACCGAATTCGCATCAAGTCCTGGTATCATCTGGGCTTCCAGACGCCGGGCACTTGGAAGCTCGGGACCCACCTGGCCCAGGTTGGAGCCATGAGCGAAGGGGAAGGGAGGGGCTGAGACAGGTGTAAACAGGCAGAGAAAGGTTCAGACCCCAAAGGGCGAGGCAAGGACTCGGAACCGGTTCGCACACGCAGGGCCCGAGCTCGCCCTGGGGGCAGAGAGGGCAGTAGAGGGTCAGACTCTGAGAGGTTGGGGGGCGCCCACGTTTTATTGTGTCTGGGAAGCCTGAAAGGGGACAGAGGGAGGTTATTGCAAGCCACACCTTCCTGGGGAGGGGACTGTCCCGCAGAAGGGCGGGACTACACCAAATGCTGGGCGCTGTCCTTTGCCCCCACGGCCAGACTGGACACCCGGGTGTGGGGCTGGACCTCGGAGAGGGAGGACTTCCCGTGATGGCGTGTGGCTCTGGGGTCGAGGCCTAGCTAGGCTTGGGGGCGGGGCCGCACCAACTGGCCACGCTGCCTGGGGCTGCACACAACTGGAGGGGGCGGTGTCGGACTTCGGGGTGGGGGCGGGGCGAGGACTCAGTGGGCGGGAACAGAGCTGCAAGGGGTGGGCCCTAGCTCGAGAGTGTCCTCCCAGGGCGTGGCCTGTTCTTAGAGAGCGGGCCCCAAGGGAGGTGTAATGCTGGACTCGTGGCCAAGATGATCCGAGAAGCTCGAGTGCAATTGCTTAGAGAGGCTTGGGGGGGAACCTGGGGGGGTGAGTGAATTGGGCAGGTCCACGGTGTGCTAGGGGTCTGCGTCTGACTGCTGGTCGGATACGTGCCTTGGGGTGCTCTGGGTCGTGACCCGCCGGCGGCTCACCCACCGCTCCCGGCTGTACGTCCCTTTGCTCCACATGCCCACTTGGTTTAGGTAGCTCAGCGTGCCTGGGGGCGGGGGCTAGGTGGGCCGTTGGACTCGGAACCCCGCCCTAGGCCCCGCCCCGTCCCTCGAGGCACACATGCCCCTCGGGTCCGCCCCATGCGACCCCGGGCCCTGCCTCGTCTTCTGCCTCGGCTCCGCCCCCTGCCCAGGCCACGCCCCTCTCTCCCGAGGCCCCGCCCCTCCCTCCCGAGGCCCCGCCCTCACCGGCCCACAGCATCAGGGCGGCAGCGCCCCAGCACAGGTAGGTGGTCACCAGGTAGGATACCTGTGGCCTCGGGCGCAGTGTCTCGCAGTTGACTACAAAGAGCGTGAGGCTGAGGACAATCAGGAACCCTGCACTGGGGTGGGGCCAGAGACGGACACGAGGCTGGACAGGGACCCCGGGACTCGCAGAAAGAGAAGAGACAGAGACATCCTCTCCCCGCCTCCATGACAAACACACACACACACACACACACACACACACACACACACACGATAGACTAAAATGATACCAGCAAAGAGGCGGAAAGAAGAGGGAAACATGGCAAAGTGAGAGACACCCCTCACACCCCGACTGAGAAAGATAAAGTAGAACAGATGCACCAGGGAGAGGTGGAGCAGAGATCCCAAGAGACATTCAAAGACGGAGACCCAGCAGCCAGCAGGACAGAAACTCTGAGATACACCTCCCCAAAGCTGGAAAGAGAGCCCCGGGGAGAGATGCTGAGGGGGGAGGGCACCCCTTCCCCCAAGCCGACACTTACCAACGCTGAAGCTGAGGGAACTGAAGACAAGGTCGATCTTGTTAAGGCGGCGGAAGACTGGCCAGAAGGAGATGCCCATGGTGAGGAGGAGGACCAGACACAGCATCAGGGCCAGCATCATGCAGCCCATGCTCATGTGGATGAGAACTGGGGGGCAAAGGGCGGGGGGGAGGATGCCCCGGAGTCATCCCCAGACGCTCTCCAAGGTCACCCTCCAAACTCATCCGCTTGACACCCACGAGCAGCATCCCAAACAGACACCCCCAAAGTTTAGCCACAGACATCCTCAAAATCAGCTCCACTTGCATTTCCAAAGTCACCTCCTAGAAACCCCAAAATGACTCCTCTCACTCACAAATCATCCCCAAGTCCCCGTAAAGTCTGTTCAAAGTCATCCCCACTCACACCCTCAGAGCTGTCTCAAATCGCACCCACCTTACTCCACAGTCAGCCCCGAGAGAACGTCATAATCAACCCCACCCACACCCCCAAGGCCACCCCACAGATGACCCTGAGTCACTCCACAGAAGCATCTCAACCATTTCTAGAGTCACCTCCACGTACAGCTCCAAAATCACCCCACTCATAATTCCAAAAGATGTCCCACAGCCACTCACATTCGTACCCTCAGTGTCACCCCTGGACACTCCCAATAGCACCCTCAAAGTTACCCAAGACACCTTAGTCATCTCCAGACACCCTACTTCTGCTAAAGTCTCTGCCACTCCCACCCTAAGGTCCCCTGGTCACCCCATTCACAGCCCCAGAAGTTCCCTGGGTAGCGCAGTGGCATCCCCATTCACACCCCAGAGCCCCCCACATTCTCTGAATCACCCCCGTCGTCCCCCAGAGCGCACACACACACGTATACACAAGGAAAACCTCCAATCAAATACTCTAATGCCAACGTACCTAAAAGATGCAATCACACTCCGTTTACAACGGATATTTATCCAATTTACGTTTCAGTATGTCAAGAGCTTCAGCCCCTCCTGAGAATTACGTCTCCTCCTTTTGGCTCTTCCTATTGAGTCTGCTTTTCAACAATGCAAGACTGTTTGAGCCAAATGAGCTAAGACTCCCTCTGCTTCGTTTCTGGCAAACTGCATGTCTCTAACACCTAACCAGAAAGCGGGAGGTTAGTAATAGAGACAGAATGACCATAGCGCTCTCGGGGTCAATCACACTGTCTTGATTAAGGGCTTCTCAAGACACACCCTGCCCTCTGGGACCACAGAGGTACTCATGTGACTCCGGCTGAGCCAATCACTGTGCCCCATGCCCCAGCCATGGTGATTAGCCCAAAGAGGGTCACATGACCAAAGCCCACCAATCAGGCTCTGCCCTGGGACTTATTTCTGACTAAAGCTGTCAGGGATGAGCTCTCGCTCCTCCAATCAAGAAGATAAGGAGCCTGCAACTGCCTGAGCCTTGGATCCAGCCTCATAAGGGAAGGAGCTCTGAGAGAGCAAAACTAAGAAGGGAAGGCAGACCAGAAAAAGAGAGAAAGAGAGCTGAGATGACACTCAAGTTCCTGGCTCTTGTCGTCCCACAGACCGGGCCACTCTGTGCTTTGGTCAGCAGTCCATATTTGCAGCTTACCTTACCAACATGCATTTCACCCTCCCGCCCGTTCCCTACTCTGCCCCAGTTACAAGCTAATCAATCAGTACATTGCAATGCTCTAGCCACCAGGCTTGGTTTGGGGTACCCGTGTGACCCAGCCACACAGGACTTTGCAGAAAATTTTCATGCTCTTTTTCCTGCCCGACTTGAGGCCCAAGGTTAGGAGTTCGGCCGGTCGTTGTCTGCTCTCAGATCCATTCCCTGTCCTTCCCTAGTCTGTATTGCAAGAACTACATTTCCCAGCCTCCTTTGCTTCCTGGCTTATCACTACGTTAGGCTAATGGGAAGCACTGGGAGAAGACTGGCTCTGGGAGGAGGGGACAAGCCAGGGTATTTATCTCCCTCTCTCTGCTTCAGTGGGTGTCTTCAGGAGTAGCTGTATTTCTTCGGTGAATGTAGCCACCTCTAAGCAAATCCCACCATGAGTCAGTGCCTTCCAGATGGCTCCAGCTTCTGGGTTCTGGTCATACCACGTCCTCCCTTTGTCCTTCTCGCCTAGGGACTAGCAGCTTGCTGAGTTGCTAACCCCTGCCTTGCCTCATCATTCCCTACTTGGCTTCTCAGCTCTTCTGTGACCCGTGAAACCAGTTCCCTACGTTTACTACCCTCTGAAGCATCTAGAATGATTTCTTCTCCTAGCTGGATCCTGACTTGCCACTACATGGAGCCTTGAGAATGAAACCAATTCAAGTAGCCAAGAAACAGACAGACCGAAATGTCTGATGCTATCACTTGGACTCCTGGGTTCAGCCATGCCTGAAAGCACTCCTACCCCAACCCTTTTTCACTGAGGCGAGCCCGTAAATTCCTTCACCCAAGCTAGTTCAAGTTAGAGTCTCTGTCATTGTGACCCAAAAACTCCTAATTCAAGGTATTCCATAGGTTGGCAAGGAACACAGGGGTCAATGCTGCCTGCGTACCAGCCACCAAAATCACAGTCAAACCCTAAAACACACACACACACACAGCCAGAATTCAATATTCACCAAAAATCTAGAGCGAGGAGAACTCCCCAAAGCTGAGAAGCAATTGGTAAGGTCACAGAGGCAAAGGTGGAGAAATTAGACTACATAAAAATTCTAAATTTCTTCACCTTATTAAAAAAAAACTTTCATAACTTACATGTTACATCTTTATGCCAGCCATAAAGCTTTGCACAGTCCTAGCATTCAATAAATGGTGATTTACTTTAAAAAGAGACTACAATACTGCCATTTGTGTTTTTGTTTTTTGGGTTTTTTGTGTGTGTTTGTGACGAAGATTGGCCCTGAGCTAACCTCTGTTGCCTGTCTTCCTCTTTTTGCTTGAGGAAGATCGTTGCTGAGCTAACATCTGTGCCAATCTTCCTCTATTTTGTATGTGAGTTGCTGCCACAGCATGGCTTGATGAGTGGTGCATATGTCCACACCCAGGATCCAAACCCGCGAACCCTGGGCCACTGAAGTGGAGCGCACAAACTTAACCATTATGCTTCTCGGCCAGACCCCTATGTGTGTTTTTAAAATGGTAAATAAATAAACATATATACATATACACAAACCTATGTGTGTGTGTGTGTATATGTCTATGTTTGTATATGTATATATAGTCATATGCAAGTATAAATATATAGCCATTTTGTCATACGTGGAGAGAATATGGCTAGAACACAAAAGACCTTAAAAATGGTTTGGTGACATCAGAAGCCCCCAGGAAGGGAGATGGGAGGGAAGGAGGACGGAAATGACGGGCAGACATTTGCACTTGTTAAAATGTTAAAGCGTGTAAATATATCACAGGTTCAAATTCAATAAAAGTCATTTAAACTTTCAAATAAAGAAAAACTTTGAAGTCACGTGAACAAAGTTAACGTTTTAGAATAAACGGGGAATGTAATGAACATTCACCTTTTTCGTCTTCTCAGTACCTTTGAACAGCAGTCCCGCATTTGGGGAATTTTCCCATCGTAGGCATCCACCTCTCCCAGGAAGGAATCCAGCCTCCCTTACAGCTAGGACCTCGGCACGTGACCAGGCTCCACCAATAAAACAGAGCCACGCCCTGAAATCGGCAGCCGGAAGAAGCAGGCTGGTCAGAGCGGCCGCAGCCATCTCTAAGGTCCTGAGGCAGCGGAGAAAAGGGTTCCCCAGGGGAGACCAGGCCAGGAGAGGCCGGGGTCCACAGGGCAGGCTGCAAGGCGTGTGCCCAGCCAGCCAGTCCTCCAGAGCATCTCTGGGTATGGTCCTGGTCACTCGACCCCCGCAGCCCAGTTCTCTCGCCTCCCAGAGATCCCACAAGCTCCCCGACAGACGTCCCGTATAAATCTGTTTTCTGCTTAAACCAGTTTGAATTGGCTCCTGCTGCTTGTCATGAGAATCCTGACCTCTCTGGGGAGTGTCTATCAAAGGCTTACAAAATCTCACCAGCCCTTTTGAAACACGGTTACTCCACTCTTGGGAATCTTACCCCCAAAGGAATTATGCTCAAATAAAGAATCACAAATATAGGGGGAAATGGTGCGCAGTCGTTTCTGCCCACCCAGCATCCGTTCCTGTTCTTCTGGCAACAGCAACTCGATTTTGTTCCGAGGAACTCTCCAGCCACCGTCTGTCCTTGTGCTCCTAACGGAAGGGACCGCTCCACTGACTTTTAAGAAAAGCATGTGATCCAGATCCAGCCAGTCACAGCATGATGTTCTCCTGACCACAGCAACTGGGAGGAGTGAGAAATGCCAGGGAAGAGCATCTGATCCCATTGGAGTTAATCCTGAGACCTTCGCTTGAGAGCCACAGAAGGCAATCAGTCCTCTTTTTCCCAGGGTTGTTTACAGAAAGGAGGGACTCTGGGCACTGGTGACGGCCCCATTGCCACAGCGTGAGCACAGCTTGTCTGAGGGCCCAACACAGAGGAAGCTGTCACAGAGAGATGGCAAGAGACAGATTGCTACTCACACCCTTTGAGCACCTGGATCCAGCAGTACCTGAACCCACTTACATCCATGCCTCTGGATTTTTCCATAACTTAAAGCCATGTTCATTTTAATTATACTAACTTGAATTTGGAAAGTATAAGAGAAAGAGACCTCCAAAATAAATAAGTAAGATTAACACTACACAGTGTTCTGGAAGTTTCATAAGCAGTTATCTGAGATCTGAAATAAAGGCAGGTGCATTGGCTGGGGGGAAAATCCTTATAATAAAATAGCTAACCCTGTTGTCCCACTTAATATGTGCCAGGCACTGTTCTAATTCTTTGGCATGTTTTAACTCACTTTTTCCTCAAACAGTCCCTGAAGAGGGACTACCATCGCTGCCATTTTAGAAATGAGGAAACTGAGGCACAGAGAGGTGCCCCAGATCACCCAGCTACCAAGCAGTTGAGCCAGGATTCCAACCCCCTGTTGCCATGCTCAGAAGCCCTGGAAACGCACAGAGACCCACCAGGAGGCAAAACATTTCTGAAGAAGCTGGGAGCCTCCTGTCATCTTGAAAAAAAACCCAACTATTTTAAAAAGTGAGAGAGAGGGCCAGCCCAGTGGCATAGAGCTTAAGTTTCCATGCTCTGCTTCGGCAGCCTGGGGTTCACAAGTTCGGATCCCAGGTGCAGACCTACACACCGCTCATCAGGCCATGCAGTGGCAGTGTCCTACATAGAAAATAGGGGAAGATGGGCACAGATGTTAGCTCAGGGCCAATCTTCCTCACCAAAAAAAAAAAAAAAAAAGTGAGAGAGAGAGAGAGGATGATGGTGTCTTTAGCCATCTAATCATGAGTTGGATTGGCTTTTGATCCAGTGTAATGTTCTCCTTCCCATGAGCTAGACAGTCCCATTTCCGTACAAGCCATATACAACTCCAGGAGACTCCCTCGCAAGGCCTTCAGAGAGTTCCCAGAGACCCTCTGGAGAGTTCTAAAGATTTCCCCCCAAGAACACCCAAAAAGATTTCCCCAGAGATTCCAACCCCTGATAATCTCCAGAGACGGCCCCCCTCCAGAGCACCCCGTAGCCTGTCCAGGCTCCTACTGACCGGTGACTTGGCCCGGGATGGCACACTGGTGCTTCCTGCAGTCAATCCAGATGCCCACATAGCCAGTGTGAGAGCCCTGCATGTAGGCCATACGCCCGTCCATCATGGTGAGCGCCATCAGGGTCGCGAGGATGCTGAAGATGAGACACCAGGCCCGCAGGACGAACTTGCGATCTTCCTCCCAGGAAGAGGCTGCGTCCACCGGGAAAGAATAGGGTTCTGGGGGCCCAGATCCACCTGCATCCTAGTCTCCATGTCCGGCCACAGCCACATCTCCATCCCCACACATCTCCCAATCCCGTCCTCGTCCCCACATCTGTGCCTGTCTCACAGCCAGCTCCAACTTCACCTCCAGCACCATCCACAACCCCAAGCCATCCACCATATTCTCCTTGTCCTAAACCCCAAACACAACCCCATCCCCATCTCTAGCTCCAGACGCATCCTCATTTTCATCTCTAACCCTAATTCCCAACCCATCTCCCATCCACTACCCTATCCTAAGCCCAAACCCACTTGTTTTGTCTCCAACCCCATCCTCCAATCTCTAGTCCCCAAACCCCAGCCCCATCTCTGCCCTCAACCTCATCCACTTATCTGCATCCCTGTGGCAAATCCCAACGCAGGACACACACAACTATGACGCAGGTCCCAAAGTGTGTTCATGAGGCCAAGACCCAAAGTGTTAAAAGAATGAACACAGGTGGTGCACCCAACATTCACCAACCACTGGGATCCTCCGACCTTCCCAGCTGGTGGGGACGTTGCCCACTTACCTCCAGCCACACTAGACGTCACAGGGTCCCTCCCACACACCAAGAGCCTTCCTACCTTGGGGTCTGCACACAGTTCAGTTCATGGTCCTTCTGCTGGGGCACTCTGTTCCCAGCTTTGCCCACCTAATCACCTCACCTCCAATGTCACTTCCTCCACCTCTCCTTTCCTGAGCCCCCCACCCCACCCCCAGCCTCGGTTCCTGGTCAGATCACCCATCAAATGCTCCCATAGTGCCATGTGCAATTCTCCTTCGCTGGTGTCCTAGAGTCTTGTGGTTCATCACATCACTGATTACTTTTTTCCCTACAAGCCTTCCCGAACAGATCTCCATGAAGGTAGGTGACAAATCCCTTTTGTCTCTGGCTGCGCCCTCATTGCCTGGCACAAAGCCTTTGCTATTTGTTGAAGGAAAGGAGCAACAAATGAATGTGTGAATCAATGCGTGGGTGGATGCTTTAGCGTATCCACTGGTAAGAACGCCTTTCTCTTCTTCTGTGGTCCATCTCAGTGTGGATTTCAGGGGAAGTTGGGTCTACGGGTCTGGAACTCAGCAAGGAGAAAGAAACCTTTAGAACCGAAATAAATATCTGTGAAGTGTAAACTTCAACAAGTTTTTATGGCAACGGGTTCTAAGTGCTTTTCCATGTTATTAACCCATTTCATCCTTATGACAACCCTCTGAAGTATCATTATCTCCTTTGACTGATGGGGGAACAGAGGCACAGAGCAGTTAAATAGGTATTCATGTCGTTGAAGACGTAAACGTTTGTGGGGTTTTTTGTTTTTTCAAAAGGTCGTCACAGAAGCCAAAGGAAAGGGTGGAGGAAGCAGCCGTGTGAAAAATCGCCTCTCTTGACTGGAAAGAGTGAACCTACTGGGTGGGTGCCCGCACCCCTGCTGGCCTCTCCTGAGCCCTTCTCCAGCTGTGGCTGCGTCTGCCTCTCCCCAAACCCAGCTGGAGGTCTTTGAGGGCCCGATCTTCTCTGGATCCCTGAGGCCTCAGAGAAAGGTGAAGAGAGACAGAGACGGAGGAGAAAGAAAGAGACCAAGGATAGATGTGGAACCAGAGAAGGGAATACAGGGATAAAACTGATTCAGAGAAGATCTTGGAAGGGCCTCGGGTGGGGGCATGTAGGGGGAGGGTATTATAAATGCAGATCTCAGGCCCTCCGGAAGCTGCAAGAAGTGATCTCACAGATGCCAGTGACCCAGCCCTGATTCAGCCCTGCCTAGCCCTGACCCTACTCTGGCCCCTCTCTGACCCTGTTGTCTCCACCCTGACCCCACTCTGACCCCACCTTGGCCCCTCTCTGACCCTGCTCTGTCTCCACCCTGATTACTCCCTACCCTCCATCTCACCCCTGCCCTGCCCTGATGCTTTAACCCAGCAGTGACCTCTTCTTGACCCAATCCTGACCCTCCTCAGACCCCACGCTGAACTCGTCCTGATCAGCCTCAGCCCCATTGTCACTCACGTGGAGCTAGGACGGAGGATGAGTCCATGGCCAACGTCTCAACCTCCTGGAACTCCCCCAACTGTCATGGAACCTCCCCCCTGCCCCCAACTGCAGGCCACACTGCAGCCTGGAGGCCTGCCTGTGGACAGCAGGAGAGACCAAGAAACACAGAAGAAGGGACAGAGAGATGCAAAGGCCAAGGGACAGGGCCTGAACCCCGGAGAGAGACCAACGGACTTCCAGGTAGCCATGGAGGTGCCTGCAAGGAGGGGCTGAGGCAGTTGGCAGGCTGTTGAGTGCATCTGGGGACTGACCTTGCCCTGCGTCTCCTCATGTCCCAGAGGCCCCAATCTGGCCACGAGAGCACCCAGCCAGATTTCCATCCAGAATCTCCAAATAACAACCAAGATGAGACCCAAAACCCTTCGCCACTTACCTACAGGCCCCAGGTCAGTACTCAGGACTCTCCACCGATTGTCCACAGTCGCCGGGTCAGTATCCAAGAACCCCTGCCCATTAGCCACAGTCGCCGGGTCAGTATCCAAGAACCCCTGCCCATTAGCCACAGTCGCCGGGTCAGTATCCAAGACCCTCCACCAGTGAGCAGTCGCCGAGTCAGCATCCAAGACACACCATCCATTTTCAGCAGTCGCCGAGTCAGTACCCAAGACACACCATCCATTTTCAACAGTCGCCGAGTCAGTACCCAAGACACACCGCCACTTACCTACAGTCGCTGGGTCAATAGCCAAGAGCTTCTACCAGTTCTCCAAACTCGCCGCCCCAGCGTCCAAAGCCCTCCATTGATTACGCACACCACCCTGAGGAGTATAGAATCAAGTGACGACAGTAGTGAAGTCAGTCTCCCGGACCACCGGCCAAAAACTGGCATCTGGCCGGTAATCCGGGCCAAAGTCGACATCCCCCCTTCAATTACTGACAGCCCCGAGGCCAGTATCAAAAGCATGGAATCGATTACCTGGGCCTCCCAGGAGAGTCTCAAAGGCTCTACGGACAGCTCCCAATTCAACCAAACTACTCTAGAGAAAAGCACCCTCAGCTCACCATCAGGCCACGACTTTGAGGTCAATTCTGGCAGGTGAGAGGAAGTAGGTCCAGGCAGTAGGCCAGGCTCAGGGCTAGAATTCTGCGGGACGGGCAGCAGTGAAAGGCGAGAGACCAGAATCATATCAGAGACTGGAGGTTGGACCTAGGGGTGGCAGGGTATAGAGGCTAGACCTCTGATTCAACCTAGAGACTAAATTGGGGATGGCAGGAAGCTAGATCTGGAGGCAAGGGAGCCTGGAGGCTGAACCCCGGTGGGCATGTCCTAGAGGCAGGATGTGGGGGATCCAGAGAAGGAAGATGGAGTCCAAAGGCTAGACAGGGTGGGACGGGCTCTGGCAGCTGGACTTGGGGTGTCTGGGCTGAGTGGCTTGACTCAGTGCTGACATTGGTGGGGGGTGATCTGCTGCAGGTTTCAGAACAAGTATAAACGCAGCCGTTCACCGCTGCCCGTAGGCTGGCGGCTGCTGCATGAGGCCAAGAAGATCAGCCGCCTGCTGAGTCTGGCACTGAGCCTGGCTGGCATGGTGATCATCGGTCTCATCTCTCTGGGCCAGCCCTGGATCCACTTCCAGGTGCCATTGCTGCCCCCTTGGGACCCTGCGGGCCCCTTGACCATCCCCGTCAGCACCATCTTCTTTATGCAGTGCCCTGACAGCTCCTGCCTGCATGAGTACAACCAGGATATTTGTAAGGCCTGCCCTCTATTCACCATTCCTGGGACTCGTCTTCTCTCTTTGTCTCAGAGACCCCTTTCTGCCTTCCCTGGGATGGTTCTCACTCCCCCTAGATTGTCCCCTCTCCCTCGGGATGGCCCTCACTGCCCCAGGACTATCCTCATTGTGCTATGCCCATCCTCACCTGCGTGCTACCCATCCTCAGAGTCCTCATAACCCTAGGAGCTTACACAGTCTCCTGAGGCTTTTTCACCCCAGGGAATCTGTCCTCAGTTTATCAAGCTGGTTGCTCAATGTCCACCCCACTTCTCACTGCCCGAGAACCTGTTTTGACTGACCCAGAGGTGTATCCTCAATGCCGAAGGCATCTGCCTCAGTATCCCTTCTCTAGAGCCCAGTTTCAATTTTCTTAAGATGAGGATGAAGAGTTTGCAAAGGAGAGGGTTTAAAAATACTCCTAGACTCACTGGGGACCCTTTCCACAAGCTCATGACCTGAGGGCCTGCCTTGGTGTCCCTGATTGTCTTTCTTTCCCAGACTTTCTGGACTTCTCCTGGGCCTTCCTCATCATCGCCAGCATCACCAACGTCTGCCTCTGCATCATCCTCATAAACATGAACTTCTTCAGCTGGTCCAACATGCCAGCACTGGACTTCACCAACATCGTCCTCAGCATCCTGACAGGCATGGCACTGAGATCCTTCCCTCAGGACCCAAGGCGAGGTGTACCCGGCCCAGTGCCTATCGTGATACCCAACCCCCCTCCACCTTACTCCAGTCCCATCCCCATCCTCACCTTCATCCCTAATCCCGGTCCTATCTCCCTCCAAATTTCCAACCCATCCCAATAAAAATGTCAGCTTCCAACCCAACCCCATCTCCAGCCCCAATACCAGCCTCCACTTCACCTCCCATCTCCATCACCAACAAATCTCAAGATCATTCACATCCCCTTCTGTGATACCCATCCCCATCCCTACCTCCATTCCAATTCTATCTTCTATCCAATCTCCAAACCATCCCCAACCCCTTTACAAATCTCAACACCCAACTCAACCCCATGCCAGACTCTCCTCAACACTCATTCCAAATCCAACCCAACTTTATGACCTGTGAACCTCAACTTCAGACTCAACCCCAACCCATCTGTGACCCCATCTTCTTCTCAATTTCCAACCTCACGCCCAACCACAAACACAATCCCATCTCTCTCACCTGTGAACCTCACTCTCAAACTCAACCCAACCCGTTCCCAACTCCATCCTCTCATCAATCTCCAATCCATCCTCATCCCTGCTCACAACCCATCCTCATCCCCAGCACCAGACTCAGCCTCCATCCTTGTCACTCAAACTTCAACCTCTACCCAATATCCAACCCCATTTCCCATTCCAATCCCATCTCAAATCCTGTCTCCCCACCTCCACTAGCTGGGTGATTTTGTTCAAGCTACTCAATCCTTCTGAGCCACAGTTTTCTCATCTGAAGGATGGGGATAAAATTTCCTACCACGCGGAGATGTCATGAGGATTGAATTAGAAAATGTTGGTACTTGATGGTAGCTATTTCACTTTGCACGAATCCTTATGGTGATAATCCTCCCACCCCTACCCAAATAACTCAAAATTGATATTGTGATTAGAATAATTTAGTTTTCCATTGGCAAGCCAAGTCATACTTTTGTTAGAAAAGAAGATGGGGAGCACTTTAATTTGGAAATGAAGGATATTGCGTTCCCATCTCTGGTAGTAATTGACCCTAACTTTCAGTTGCATCAAAGGAAGCACGTTCTTGGAGAGTGAAAATGAGGCCAAGAATGGAGAGCACTCAACTTCCTGTTTCCCTGTTAGTGAACGGTATTCATCCAATTTGTCTAGCAGCTCTTCCTGATTGTTTAGATACGAGATACAAAGTGTAGAAAACACCTCAGTTTTATGCCATCTTAAATGGGACATTTTTCTCTAAGAAAATCATTTTTGTCCATTTCGCCTCTTAATGAAATGGAAAACACTTCCAATATTATTTTTCGATAACATAAAGAAAAAATTACCCAGTACTTCGACGACCCGAGCTAAAACCAAGTCTTTTCCTTTTCACAAATTAGCTTTAATTCATGTCATTTCAAAATAAAGTTAAAATATCCAGAGTGACTGGGTTCCTTGTCCACTGCTTCAGAAGCCCCAAAATTAAAGACCCAATATAGTGATAATAACCAATCTCAATTCTTGAGGATTCACTGTGTGCCAGGACATGAGCCAATCTCAATAATTCCCCATGACAGCCCAAGGAGATGGGTCCCATGATTATGCCCACTTTACAGATGAGGGAAATGAGGCTCAGAGAGGTGGAGTTGCTGCCCTAGCTGGGTGGCAGAGGCAGGACAAGAGCTCCAGTCTGTTGGCCCCACAACCTGTGATTTTAGACACCACCATCACCTGGTTAAAGACCAAGGCTCCAATGTCCTCTACCATGACGTTGTGGGAGCCCATTTTCCTGCTCGTGAGCAGAGGTACAGGGAGGTAAAAGAAAGTGGGAAAATAATGAGCAAGAGCTGGGCGGCCACACAGCTGTGGGACAGGGGTCCTCACACAGCTGACGCCTGGCCTCCTAACACCTGTACTTACACAGGGACGAGCACGATCTTGGGTGTCTTGTGCTACCTGCTGCAGGCTGACGAGTTCCTGCAGGAAGGCATGACCTACAGGCTGGGGCGGAGCTTCTACCTGGCATGGACCAGCGTCTTCTTCTTCATGATGACTGGTCTGGGCTGGGGTGGGGTTGGGTTGGGCATGGGTTCAGGGATGCAGATGGGGACTTGGTGGGACAGGGTTTGGGGTGGGGTTGGGGTTGTGGACAGGGTTAAGTAGGATGGAATTGAGTTGGGAGACAGGCTGGGCGTAGGGCTGGGTGTAGGGATGGGTTTGGGGTTGGGTTTGGAAATGGGTTGGGGACAGTGTTGGGAATGGTGTTGGGCTTGAGGACAGTGTAGAGGATGGCTTCGGGTTTGGGTTTGAGGGTGGGGGTTGGGGAAAGTATAGGGAGAGGGGTTGGGTTCAGCTTTAGGGACAAGTTTGGGAACAGGGTAGAGGGTGACATGCGGCTGGGTTTGGAAATGGGTTGGGGACAGAGTAGGGGATGGGATTGAGTTTGAGTTTAGGGATGGGCTTGAGGACTCGGTAGGGGGTGTGGTTGGGCATGGGGAGAGGACTGGGATCAGGGGCGGGCCGGTGACCTCTGCATCTCACACCCTCTGCTCTCTTCCTCCCCCCAGGTTTCTTGTCCTATCTCAACTACATGAATTTCTGGTCCATCCTGGCGATCCAGGCTGTCTGGACTTAGGACGTGGGAATGACCCCGCCTCTGACCTGCTCCCACAGCTCGCTGCCAAGCACCTGGCAGGACTTTTTCAGTCTCTTCTGAATCCCTCCCCAACTCAGATTAATAATTTGTACTTTTAAATAATCTGTATTTTTCGCCCAAAATATTCTTTTAGCTCAGTACCTTGTAAATGTTCTTTGGAAATGCCATCCCTCCCTGGGGCCATCCCTCAGGCCCTCCAGGCTAGAGGGACAGGTGAGGAAAGGGGCTCAGGGGAAAGAGACTCGAGGCACAAGGTCAGCAAAGAGGCTGAGCCGATGGCTCCTGGCATACAGATGGTGCTCAATCAATGTTTGCTGAATAGCTCATTCTCCCCAAGCTCTCTGGACGTCATTCTGTATCTTTGTGCTTTTTCATACTTTTACTGTTTGCAATCCCAATAATTTCCCCCTCCTGTGATGAATTTTCCCTGCACCCACACTTCACCTGCTGCCATTACCAGCAGCTCCTGCCACCACTTCCTCTTTCTTCTCCCCAAATCTCCCAACACAAGGCTATTCTTTTCTTAAAAACTTTGTTTATTTTCTATAGGGTCCCGTTGCTTCTCTAAATTTCTTTCTTTCTTTTTTCCTTTCTTTCTTTCTTTCTTCCTTCCTTCCTTCTCTAATTTTTTTCTTTCCTTTTTCCTTTCTTTCTGTCTTTCTTCCTTCCTTCCTTCTCTGATTTTCTTTCTTTCCTCCTTCCTTCCTTCCTTCCTTTCTTTCTCTCTTTCTTCTTTCCTCCCTCCCTCCCTCTCTCCCTCCTTCCTTCTTTCCTTCTTTCTTCTTAAGGCCATTGTGTGTAGCTGATGATTTGCGGCTAACAGAGTCATTTACTGAACAGGGCAGGGTTGCAACTCAAGTACAAAGTTACATCAATGTCTGGGGTCCTCCTGCAGGACCCGGACCTGGGGGTCCCATCCGTCTCCCTCTCACACAGGGGTTAAGCTGCCAGGTTTTGAGTCTGGGCTCGGCCACTTACGAGCTCTGTGACCTGTGACAAAGTGTTGAACCCATCCGGCTCTGTGTCCTCATCTGTGAAAGGAGGATAATGAGAATACTTCAATCTAGACAGAGTTGAACACATGCCTGGTGTCGCCTGCAGCGGCAAAGGGCAAGGAATGACAGGTACCGCCAAGGCTACTTGGTTGTTTAAGCAATCAGAGTATTGATAAAGGGAAACAGAACGAGGAGCAGGCATAAAGGGGAACAACAAATTGGTGCTTACAACATCCACACCGCAATCAGCCAGGGAAGTCCCAATAGTTTGTAGGGCAGATGGGAGTGCCGATTGTCCGGGTCTGAGGCAAAGCGTCCTCTCCTCAGCGAGACTGCCAATTGTTCTATGCCTGTGACTCTCTTTTATCCTAAGGTTTCTCTGTGTTCCGACTCAGGGTTTCAGACATTTGGATACTTTGAGTTATTTCTTCTTGTTCTCACGGATGGGGTGCTTTTATCTTTTTTGTTCCCATGGATGGGATGTTTCTAAAGTCCTGTCAGGTGCCCGTCGGGGTGGCCAGGCCAGACAAGTAACATGACGCAGGACGTATTTTGTGTAACTTGTGCCTAAGAGTCAAGGCCGAAGTGGCCATCTTTGGCCCCGAGCCCAGACACATTCCTTTGTGTGGGGCCCAGGCCCCGTGTCCTTGGAAGGAGGGGTGGAGGGTCAATGAACTCTGTACACCTGGTCCAGAGTATGCGCTCTTTGAGTACTGCTACAATAACCCTTCCTCATGTCTCCCCCAAAAGGCTCTCAAATATTTTCATTTTTAACAGAAATTGAGCTACAACTAGGCGCCCGACACTGGGTCTACAGCAGTGATCAAACCAGACAGAAATTCTCGCCTTTATGAAATTGACATCTCAGCAGGGAGGCAAAAGTATATGCCCACAAACAGATATGATAGGAGAAAAATAAAGGAGGGTAAAGAAATTCCATCCGGGAAGGACGGGGTGCGTTATACAGAGCGAAGGGACAGGGGGCTCTATGCTAAGGTGACACCTGAGCAGTGACACGGCTGAAGAGAGGAAGAGAGCCATGCGGATAGACTGGGGGCTGGGGGAGAAGAGTTCCAGGCAGAGGGAACAGCAAATGTAAAGGGCCTCAGGTACAAATGTCCTGAGCAGGTTCCAGGATGGCCAGGGAGGCCAGCGTACTAGTGTGGCCTGAGTGAGGGAGAGAGAGAGGAATAGGGGCCAGGTCACCCCGGGCCTTGTGGGCCACCGTGAGGACTCTGCTGTACTCTGAGTGAGGCAGGAGCCAGTGAAGGACAAGTCTCCCACATTCTTTTTTTTTTTTTTTTAAGATTTTATTTTTTCCTTTTTCTCCCCAAAGCCCCCCGGTACATAGTTGTGTATTCTTCGTTGTGGGTTCCTCTAGTTGTGGCATGTGGGACGCTGCCTCAGCGTGGTCTGATGAGCAGTGCCATGTCCGCGCCCAGGATTCGAACCGACGAAACACTGGGCCGCCTGCAGCGGAGCGCGCGAACTTAACCACTCGGCCACGGGGCCAGCCCCAAGTCTCCAACATTCTTAAGAGAGGAGTTTAGTTTTAATCCAGACCACAGCCTTGACGAGACGAGTCTCCTCACTGGAAGAAAGACAGCCATCCAAAGGTCCAGGGGACCAGCTAAACAAAGTGTGTTGTGTCACACAAAGGAATACTTTGCCCCTGTTCAAGGAATGAGGTCACTCTGTACATACTGATGTTGGGGGAGACTACTTACGGGACAAAAAGCGTCTTTACCCATAGTGTGTGTGTGTGTGTGTGTGTGTCTGTGTAGCCATCAAGTAAAAAACTGTTGACAGTGGCGATTGTGGTGAGTGGGTTTGGAGTAGAGAAGTTTCATTTTTCATCTCTGAAAAAAAATTTTACAGTCACATCAGTTGCAAGACACTCCTTCAATCTCCAACCCTACCAAGAATCCAAGCCCCCAGGGCTTAGAGGATCTAAACCGGGGGTGAGCCCCAAATCCGGTCCTCCCTTAGCCCCAGGAGTCCTGTCCCCGGCGCCCTCCTCCTTCAGACCCGAAGTCCAGCCTTCCTGTCCCTCCCTCGAGGGCTGGCCCATCCTCTCACTGCGCAGAATCAGCCTCCAAGTCTGCGCCACGTGGGTGCTTTCCCAGAAACGCCCCCCTGTCAATCTCCGCACTGACCCCGCCTCCCGCTCTGTGCCGGGACTTCGCCTGGCTCGGCCCCGCCCCTGCAGCCTCAGCTCGCGCCCCTGCCGCGAGAGCAATTCTTGCGGCTTCCCTTTCTGGCCCCGCCCATTCCCGGGGGGGTCCTTCTCCTCCACGGCCCGCCTTGAGTGCCGTCCGAAGAATTGCCTGACGCCCATGACCGGACAATGGGCCCCGACATTTCCCTACTCCTTTTGCTCTGCCTCCATCTCATCGCTGCTCAGGGAGATTCTCGCGGAAACATGCGTTCTTCCCTTCCCCAAGCACGAAAGCAGGGTTTCCGACACCGGCGTATGCACTGGACGCCTCAGGGCGGAGCCCGAGCTGGCGCCGGTGGGCGGACCTTGCGAGCGGCGCGCAGTATAAAGTGGGACGCGCGCCCGCCTGCGCACGCTTTGAAGAGAATGAGTGGAGGGTGAGTGCTGTTCGTCTTTGGTACTTTTTTGTCTGCGCGGCGGGGTTGGGGTCCGGGCGGTGCCCGGGGCGGCGGCGAAGCTGCGACGTCGCCGCCTGGGTGGGGTCAGGGCCTTTGAAGGGACCCGGCGCTCGCGCGCGCTCCGAGGCGAGCCTGGGGGCTCCCTGCGGGGCGGTGGTGGCGGCCGCCGAGGGTCAGGGGGGTCTCCTGCTGCCCCAGCAAACGGGGGCGCCGGGCTAGTCCTGTGTCTGCACCGCGGCCCGGCCGCGCCATTTCTGCGGCCCACGTTGCACGTCTCCGCCATCTTGGCCCTTCTTCTTGGGGGACAGGAGTGGGGGGTGGTGACATTCAGTTTCTGAGGTTTCCCACCCGCGTGCTAGGCACGTGATTTCTTTAGGAAATCGCACTTGTGTTTTTCGATTCCGGGCGGCTGACGTTTTTGTGCAAGCCCGAACACATCCTATGGGGCAGGTGGAGGCAAGATTTCGGGGATGGCTAAGCAAGAAGTGGGAGTGGGGGTCTCTACGGGAGTGACGGGGTTGTTTCTGAGAACCAGCCAGGAGTGGTCGTAGGAGAAACCAACCGGGGGCTTATTTCATCTTCAGGAATCGTTATGACACGGTCACTCCAAATATCAGAGTTTTGTGGTCACTCCAACATCACAGTCTTGTTAAAGGTTAGTTCTGGGCTGGTTGGTGCTTAAGGTCGTCTTGATCATCCGTTTCCTGATGGCCGAGCAAGGCCGCACCCCTGCCGAGGAGGCCCAGCCCGGGGCAGCTTGCTGATTTTCTGTCTCCCCACCACGGCCCAGGAAGAACCCCCCTGGCTGTGTCCCTCTCTTCAGGCAGCCACCTAGAAAACCCTTGACTTTATCCTCACCATCGCCATGTCTTCTGTGGAAGACTTTTTCTCCGGCATCCATCATTGGCATGCCCTCTTTCGCCGTTGTCCAATATATTCCTTTTTCATAGCTTATTTTTTTAACTTATTATTAAAACCCTCCTACAGGGAAATAGACATAAGTTTCACAGTTGTACCATTTGGCTTTGTTTGTTTTTTTGTGTATTTAGTGTTTTGAAAGTAAATTTATTTCATCCAAAATAGTTAACCGTTGTGACTCTTAAAGTAAAATTTTTCTTCTGAACGACAGTGCTGTTGTCACCTCTAATGAGACTGATCCCTTAGTGACGCCGTCCCCTGTCTGCTTTGTGGTCACGGTTCCTAAGACATCCCCAGAATGTCTCTCACGGCTGATTTTTCAAAAATGGGTGCTGCGAAGAGTCTCCAGTCATTGCTCGTGGTCCTTGTATCTTGGCTTTTTTTTCCTAGAATAGCCCCCTCATTCCTCCCAACAGGTTCTTCCAAGAGATCTGCATCTTAGCTTTCACTGTAGGCTTATTAGCAGGAATAGCCAGTGCCGAGAATGTGCAAAAGTGGGCAGGGGCGCGGGGACCCCTGGTTCTCTCCACAGAGTGGGTTTGAGGACAGTTCCCTGGGACGCTGGGGGGGTGGGGGCATCCTGCCGTCTCCATAGGGAGAGCTGTGGGCATTCTCACCCTCATGGATTTCGTGGTTCCCAGTCTCAGTGCTCTTCTCAGCTTGGCCTCTGTCCCTGAAGGTGAGTGGCCTTGGGGCCTGATTGCAGAGGGCCCAGGGCTCCCATGATGTCCAGCACTGGGCTCCTATCACCCCTGAGGACACAGTGCCCCCCAGGACCTTTGACACCTGGGGATCTGAGGAGCCCTGGTTTTGATAGTCTCTGTACCCCCAGACGGTTTCCCCCCCACCCTCACCAAGTCCTTTCTGTGTTTACAGGTGTGTCTTCAAGCGGAGGAGCCACCCACCACCACCCCCTCTTGGTAAGAACCCTTGCTCCCACTCCCTCATGCACCCACATCGAAAACACCTCACCCTCTGTTTGGGTGACTTCATACCCAGTATCTCTGGGACCTAATTTATGTGCCAACCATTGTGCTTGGGATTTATGCCAGATCCCAGCTCCACTGTTGATGGCTTGGTAGTGTTAGTCAGACACTGCTCTCCCGAGCCTCAGCTTCTGTGTCTGGAGAGTGGACCCAACACATCAGGGGTGGATGGGCCCGAGGCCTCCACACGGCGGGTGGTGGGCCGTGAGGTTTCCCGCCTTCAGAGGTAAGTGTTGAATAAGACAGAATGTGTGGGCTGTGGAAGGAAAGAATACGGATGTGTTTGGGTTTGGGGCAAGACAACTAAGGAGAACTCTAATTTTCAAACTCAGCAGAAGAAAAGAAGCAGAAAGGCTGGCAGCTGTCATCGCTCACACTGCGGGTTTTGTACAGCCTGGCTACAGTGTACCTTTCAGCAAAGCTTAGCCAGCCTCCCATGAATCCTGTGCTTACAAACTGATACAGTTATTCCAGCTGCCCTTACTTTACACACCAGCCCTTATTAAAATGACACAGATTATCGGGAGAACGTTTCACAAGTCTTTCAAAGAGCTGAATCATCAAAGGGGCAGAGATCTGCGTGTCCTCCAAAAAGAAAAGAGAGTTCTCAGCTCTAGGGGGGATTTTCCGGTCCAAGGAGCCGGGAGAATGGGGGCTGCGGGGAAATAGGACTGAAAGTGTGTTCTCCGGGATTCTCAGGTTTCGCCTCTTGCTGATGAGCGTTTAGGGATGAGCGGCTGCTTTCTGGGAAGGGTGAGCTCAGATCGTGGGTCATCTGAGGGGCTCAGGCGAGGGGTCCTCTGTAGAGCTCTGAGCCGTCAGCGCGGGCTGAGAGGGAATGTCTGGGGAAGCGTGGCGCAGGCAAGGGGCCGCCTGGGCAGTGATATGTGGCGGTGGGGGGGTGGCAGCAAGCAGAGGGAAGATGTGACAGCAGGATAGGGAAGACCTGAGGAGTGTGTCACATCTGTCGATTTCTCAGGCAGTGCTGGCCGACAGCTGTCAGGACGTGCCCGTCCTCTCTTACATTGTCCATTCCAGTAGCTCCTGCCACACGTGGCTCGAGTACCTGAAACAGCAAGTGCAACTGGGAGCTAGATGTTGAAATTGTACCTATAAGTAGCAGCTGTGTCTTTGGACAGTGCATTTCTACACAAAACATGGGTTTGAGGGTTTGTGCTTGCTAAATAGTAGCCCACACTTGGGGAGCACTTGCTCTCTGAGTCCTCCCGGGGTCCCAGTGAGAGGCATAACCGTTCCCCATTTCACAGTCGCCTCCCCAAATCACAGAGCAAGGGAGTACAGCCACGCGTCGCTTAACGACGGGGCACGTTCGGAGAACGGCGTTATTAGGCGAGCTCGTCGTCGTGTGAACATCCAGTGTGCTTGCACACACCTAGATGCTAGAGCCACCTGGGCACTGTAGTGCTGGTCTCATGGGACCGCCACTGTTTATGGGGTCCGTCATGGACCGAGACGGGATACAGCACATGACTGCAGTGATGTGGGTCCCGCCCAGCCAGTTTGTCTCAAGACCACGGCTGCGGGGCCGGCCCCGGTGGTGCAGCCGTTAAGTACGCACATTGCACTTCGGTGGCCCGGGGTTCACTGGTTCGGATCCCGGGTGTGGACATGGCACCGCTGGGCAAGCCATGCTGTGGCAGGCATCCCACATATAAAGTAGAGGAAGATGGGCACAAATGTTAGCTCAGGGCCAGGCTTCCTCAGCAAAAAGGAGAATTGGCAGCAGTTAGCTCAGGGCTAATCTTCCTCCAAAAAAAAATAAATCATCACGGCCGAACAAGAGACTTGGGAAGAGTTGGGAAATCAGACGAGAGGTGTGGGGTGTTCTCATTCGGCACGCCGGGGAGCTGAGCCCGGGGGAGGCCGCCTTCGTCTCACTGGAGTCTGCCAACCGCCTGTCTGCCCGGCGGATCTGTTCCATTTTCCAGAGGAAGAAACAGCCGGCGGGGCGGGGGGCACTTAGTTCTGTGGCTGCAGGTCGTACAAGAAGTGACACCCAGGGAGGAGCCAGGCAGGGAGGGGTGGTCTAGGGGGGCTTGGGGGCGCAGGTATGCTGTTGGAAGGTGAGTCATGGAGGCTTGCCACTTGGCCTCCCAGGGACCAGATACTGCTCATTTGTCCCGCCTGCGTCTCTGAGCTCTTGTCTGTGTCATCCCCTTAGGGCTATAGGCAAGGGACTCTGGGACCTGAGCGAGGAGGGGGATGAGGGCACCAGGGCCCCCGTGATGTCCAGCACTGGGCTCCGACCGCCCCTGAGGACACGGTGCACCCCGGGACCTTTGACACCCGGGGGTCTGAGGGGCCCTGCTCTGGGTGGGGGAGGGAGGGCTGGCGGGCCGTGGGTGCCCTGCGCCCCACTCACCTCCTCTTCCCCTCCCCCTCTTCTGTGTGCAGATGTTTCCTCCGGGACTGGAGCAGCCCCACCATCCATCTTTGTAAGAACAGAAGAGGCTCCCTCTTAGTAATACCATGATGATCATATTCAATTTATGTTATAAATGTATTGTTTATAAATAAAATTTATAAACTAAAAATTTCTAGATTATGGTAATACTAATTTAACAGAGACAAATGCTGAGCATTTGCTGAGCCAGGCTTGGTTGTAAGCACTTGCCTGCCCCCCGCTGGCCACACAAGGGCTTGGGGAGACCCCGGGCTGGTGGCCGAGGGCTCAGCTGGTGCTACTGAGGATCACCAGGTGGTGGCAGAGGGGGGAGCGTTGACGCCAGCCTCTGCGGCCCCCGAAGCTGCCATCCCCTCCGTGACGTGGAGTCCACCGCGCAGATGCTGGGGGAATGTAAGACAAGGGGGGTGCTCCATCAGAGGGTGCTAAAGGGGCTGCACGCGGGGCCCCCGTGATGTCCAGCACTGGGCTCCGACCAGCCCTGAGGACACGGTGCCCCCCGGGACCTTTGACACCTGGGGGTCTGAGGGGCCCTGCTCTGGGGATGAGGGATGGGGGCCCGTGGGTGCCTTGCACCCCACCCACCTCCTCTCCCCACGCCCCCACCCTCCCCTTCTGCCGGGAGCCATGTTACCAACGCCTGTACAGCCATCTGACAGGGTCCGGGCTGAGAAGGGCCGAGGGGCGCAGGGACGCCCCTCGGTGGAGAATGGCCGACCGTCACCCCTGATATTTTCTGAAATGTATGCATGCTTTCTATCAAGGTTTGACTGTACTTGTCTCTGCTTTTCATTCTTGAAGATAGATAATTTAACTTAGCTTTTCAGTCTGATGCCTTACTAGCAAAATGATATTTTCTCCGGGCAGTGTGCTCAAGGGACAAATAGTCCTACCCCCTGAAAGACAAAGGAATGCTTTCACCCCCTAAGGGGCGCGGGAAGGTAAAGATGTTTATCCGCTGAGAACGCACATAGTCCTGGGGATAAGATACCCGGGAGTTGCTTTTTGTTCCCATTGACCATCGGAACAATGACTAGATGATCGATGGGGGCAGGGGTAGCTCCCCCAGGACGTGAACAGATGGAATGCTGTCCTGTCTGGATGTCTGGACCTTCTCTCCGCCTTTGATCTAACTTTACCATAAATTACCTTTGTTTCTGAACCCACAAATCCATACGTGAAGAATAGAAGATTCAAATAGACCCCATCCCTGACGTCAATGTATATTCGTCCCAAAATAGTAGAGGAAGTCATTTCTATACCCTTTAAAGTTTAGAAGTTAAATTTAAACATACTCCACTACAACAGATGCTAAGCTACCTATCTCCTTTAGTTTAGAGACAATAAATAATCGTTAATTGCGGAAAAGATGATCGTTAACCTCGTGCTCTATAGAATGGAATGCTAATAAAAATTCTTGTGCTCGCTTTGTACTTCCTTATCTCTCTCAGAACATCTGTAGAGCTATTTCTGTACTAATCTGAAAAACATAAAAACGACACTTGTGCACAGTAAAGACAGACTTGATTGCACCGACTCAAGTTTCACGTCTCTTCCTTCACTGCCGCGACTCTGTCCCTCCCTCAGGAACCTGGACTTGGCTGGAGCACCACTCCGGCACCCTTCCGTCTGCAAGTGCTTTCTCCAGGACTGGAGCAGCCCCACCGTCCTTCGGTAAGGACAGAAGCTCCCTCTTGTTAATACCATGCTAGTCATTAAATTTATTCTAAGTTTGTAGTGAGTAAACCTTACAGACCGTGGCAGCGACAGGCAGGTGCCGAGCGCTTGCTCTGAGCCGGGAGCCATTCTAAGTGCTCGACTCATTTCATCTCCACCGTTGCCCTATGAATTGGGGGGGTCACAGCCAACATCCTGTGTCAGGGGTCCTGAACGGGCTGTCCCCCGCAATGTCCAGCACTGGCCTCTCACCGCCTGTGAGGACATGGTGCCCTCCGGGCCCTTTGATACCCCGGAGGGCTCTGAGGGGCCGCTCTGGAGAGACGGGGGCGGGGCCGCTTCCCCGCCTGATGTCTTTGGTGTCCTTCCTGCAGGTCCTCTGGCCGAGGCCTCAGGCTCCTGTGCCTCTCCCGCCCGGGGCACCTGTGGCCATGGCCGAGGGCGCGCTGGCACCCATGGAGGTGGGGCGGGGGGACCGCCAGTACACGTACACCGAGCTCCTGGCCATCTCGCAGCGCTTCAAGCAGAACCCCAGCGAGCTCATGATCACCTGGATCCTGCGGGTGTATGACCAGGGGGGCTCAGCCCTGACCCTCAGCCCCGGGGAGCTGACGCTGCTGGGCGACCTGACCAGCGACACCGTCTTCAACTACCGCTGCAAGGCGCTGCGCGGCGGCCGCCAGCCGCTGCTCGCCTGGCTGCTCCTGGCCTGGCGCCAGCGCTGGGAGTCCTTCCTGCATTTCGACTCCACCGAGCTGCCCTTCCAGCCCTGGACCACCATGGAGGAGGGCATCCAGCTGGTGCGCGAGCTGGGCATGCTGGACTGGATCTACAGCGAGCCGCCCCTGCCTGCCACGCCCGAGGACGGGCCCTTCACGCCCGGCCTGCAGCAGCGCCTGCTCACGGCGGCGCCCTCTGAGGCGCGGGTCTCGCTGGTCAACCTGCTGGTCAAGGGCATGACGGTGCTGGAGGCCATGATGAAGATCCACGCCCTCGCCGACGTCGGCCTGCTCTGGCGTCACAGCCAGCCGGGCGGCGCCAAGCTCGTGCTGGGGCCCAACCCGACGCACAAGGACCTCCTGGGCTGGCTCCTGAGCCACGGCGTGCCCAGGGAGAGGGTGGACAAGCAGCCCACCAAGGTCCTGATGGAACTCTACATCAGAGAGGCCAGGCGCAGCCGTGGCCACCCGGCCTGTGTGCTGGGGGACAAGCCGCCGCCGCCGCCACCGGTGCATCGCAATTAGGACCCCCAGGCCTGGCCTTCCATGGCCCTCGGAGAGGAGGCGGGAGGCCACGTTCTTGGGGAGCCAACAGGGCAGGGGGCGAGCACCTCAAGGGCCACGAGTCTCCTGCACGTCCCCAGGACAGACTGAGGGACCATTTGCCCGCCTGTTCTCCAGCCTACTGTGGGCAGGCCCCGACAGCGTGTTGGGGGAGCCCAGAGGGGTCCTCGCCCCCGGCCACCCCACGGGCATCACCGGCCAGAACTGTGGAGGGGAAGGGGCTGGCTGGTGGCTGCCGGGTGTGGTGGCCCCTCTGGGTGAGCCAGCCCAACACAGCCCGGCACGTTTCAGTCTGTCTGTTGGAGCCCGATGGGCATGGCGGGTGGACCCCTCTCCCACCCGGGCCCGCAAAGCACTACAGGCCAAGCGGGGAGACCCCATGGTCCGTGGCATGTAAGCCTCTTGAATTTTGTGCCCTTTTTCTTAAGGTTTCTTCAAATGCACTGTTTTTACTTAGCGCTTTAAGCATAGATGACACTTAGTTTTAGGGGCACTCATTTCTCTTGTAAGTGTTTTTTAAACCTTTTGGCCATGGCTTTCCCTTTTGAAGTGGACTCGTGCTGTTTACTCACCTGGGGAAGGTGCGGCTGTTCCCATCCGGCTTGTCCAGCTGCCTGTGTAGCCTCCAGCCAGTGTTTGTCACATGGGTTAAGAGTGTCGGGAACCACAGCCTCGTGAGGGTGGACAGCCCTGCAGTCAGTGCTGGGCACACTCTGCGCGCTACAGAGCGCGCCTGGCGCTGCGCGTGCACTGCAGTATTGGTGCAGTCCTGGGTGGAGCTTAATCCAGGCCCCTCCCGGGGCAGGGGCAGGTGGGACACAGGGTGGCCACCTCCCCGCGGGCTGGGCTCTGTCGGCCCCTGGGAGCCGCTCACAGCAGTGAGGGAACCTGCCAGAACTCTGGGTCTCTCCTGGATCTCTAAGCAAGAAGCTGCACGCACTCCCAGGACCAGGAAGCGCAGAGGGTATCCGAGGCTTTCCCTGGGTGCTGCTGCTGTCCACGGAGGCCCCGGGACCACCCCGCACCCCCTGCAGGTCCCTGGGGATGGGTGCTCCTGACAAGAGGCTACTTGGGGGGCCCATGGCAGGCTCCCTCGCCCCATGGCACTGGGAGTGGATGGGCCTGTGGGGAGGGTGTGCTGGTGCCCCAACAAGGAAAAGGGATGTCCCTGCCTCTCTGGATATGAGGACAAGGCTGCTGGCCCCGGCCCGTTCCCTCCCACAGTCCAGGGGTCCCGGTGGCTAGGAGTGGCTCTGCTTCTGGTCACAAGCTCCCCTTGCCTCTGAGCCTCTTACCCCTTTAAACGGGCACCAAGTGACTTACTGAGTGCCTGCTGTACACCAGGCTCTCCCCGGGTAGTCCAGTGGGTGTTCACACGTTTGCCCAATGGTGCAGGCACAGCCGTTGGTGCTGTGCACAAGGGACAAGACCCTTGGGACTGGTGCCTTGGCCAGGGCCACACCGAGAGGAGGCAGCCCCCAGACTGCTGCCCAGCACCCGGCATGTGAGGAGGGTGGAGCCCCCTTCTGGGGTGCAGGAGCACAAGTGCCTGGGCTCCTGGCTTAGCAGGTGTGTGGTGGCTGTCCTTACCTACTGTGCTGTCCCAGAGAACACTTGCGGTAGTGGAAACTGTGCACTGCCCAGGGGGCAGCCCCCAGCCATGCACGGCCAGCAAGCACTTGAATTGTGGCCACTGTGACTGGCACCTCCAGTTTACATTGTATGTAATTTAAACCGTCCCATGGTGACCAGTAGCTGCTGCACTGGACAGCACTCAGGTGGTGACCTGTCCCGTCCAAATTACGGCAGCGTGTGCTGTGCTGGGCAGCCCTGGGGACGGTCCCCAGCCCCACCTGCTTTGCTGGGCCCCATGAGGTTAGTTTCAGGGCTCGTGGAGCCTCAGGGAGGAATCTTGTCTCTGCCAAGTGAGATGGGGGCACAGAGAGGCCAGTCACTGGCCTGGAGTCACACAGTCTCGGGATTGGTCCCAGCTGGCTGGCTGTGGGGCCGGGCTTTGAACCCTGTACTCTGAGGTCTCCTCTCAATAGCGGGCACCAGAGCCGGGTCCCAACAGAGCAGGGGCTTGCCCAGCAGGCACAGCTTCATTGCACATCATGTGCCCGCCCATATACTGCACGCTCTCACGCACGCCTGGAAACTTAGACATAAACTGCCTAAACACATTACCCACGTGTGCAGCCACCTGTACACACGCACATGCACAGACAAGTGCAGGGACGTCCACACGAATGTCCGTGTGCGGGTACCACTGCATGCACACACGTGCCACGTGCACGCGTACACAGAAACAGCCTGTCACAGGCCCGTGGATACGCGCACACACACATGAACGCTTGAGCACACAGAGAACCACTTGTGGCTTCCAGGCCAGGGAGCCCTCCCCGTGTCCCCCACGCGGACAGGCACACGCAGGAAATCACAGAAAGCCAGAGCAGCAGGTGAGCAGACGTGTTGGGGTCCAGCGTCAGCCATGGGGAGGGGGTACCCGGTTCCCCGGCTCACACGGGGCCCCCCCAGGCCCGCAGGCAGCCCGGTCTCCAGGCCAGCAGGCCCAGCCCCATGCTGAGCGCCGCCAGCACGGCCACAGCCCCGGCCAGCAGGGGCACCACGGTGGCTGCGGGGAGAACACGGGGGTGTGAATCTCGACACGTGCCCCCCCCACTCCCACCCCAGCACCGAGGGCCATCACCTGCGGTGGCGGCAGGCTCTCGAGAGCCGTGGCAGGGGACCCCGTGGGCCGGAGGCCGGGCGGGGGCCGTCAGCTGGTGGAAGCGGCCTAGCGGGCAGGGGGCCTGGCACCCGGGGAGGCGGAGGGGCAGGGGCGGGCTGGCGGAATCGTTGCGGTAGAAGAGGGAGATGGTGATGTTCCTGGAGGGAGAGAGGACGGGGTGGCACGCAGGCCCCTCCTCGCCTTCCCTCCCCCGACCTTCAATCTGGAGAAGAGCAGCTCAGTGCAGAGACTGGGCTTCTGACTCCTATGTGTCCACCTGCTGATGCCATCCTGACCCACCTGGGCCGGGCACCCGTCCCTCCTCTCCAGAGTTCTCTCCCACCTGTTCCCAGGCGCCACCCCCTTCCTCACCCTGAGTCTTCGTCCAGGTCCCCGAGGCGTCTCCGGAACTCGAAGCCAAGGCAGGCAGCGTATGGGGGGGTGTGCCCATCATAGAGACCCAGGGCCCCCTGCAGGGCCAGCAGAGTGCTGTCGTGCTGCAGGTGGATCCCAGGGCTGAGACAGGGCTCCTCTCCGGATGTCTCCTCTCCCGAACTCTAGGCTGGTGCATCCAGGTCCCCCGGACCTCTTAGCACCAACCCTCCCACCCCATCTGCTCGCCCTGGAGGCAGGCCCACCAGTTACAGGTGATCATTTAATAAAGGTTGGTCAAATGGACGCAAGATATGATTGGCCAGCTCAGTCACACAGCCTGTCTTTCCAGAAGAAGTAAATTCTTTCTCTCATAACACTATCACCTCCCTCCTTCCAGAGTCTATTCCTCTAGTGATATGGCCCAAGAGTATGGTTTGGAGATAGGAGTTACCCAAGACTGAGGTTCCATTGAGACCACCAGCTCTTCCTCACCCAAATCACCACCCCCCTCATCCCTGTGCCCACATGACACTGCCTCCCTCCCCAAAGACTCACAGCTGAGTACATAACCATCTTGAGGGGCAGCCCCAGGCGCTGGACCCGAGAGAAGTTGGAAAGGATGGCATCTAGCAGGATCCCTGAGAGAGCAAGAACAGAATGCGGAGAAGCCCCCAGAGGAAGGGTCCTCAGCCTCCTGGCCTCCCAGCCCCACACCTCACCCCCTGTCAGCTGGGCCTTCTCTGCTGCCCGGGGTGGGCCCACGTGGGCCCCAATATCCAAAGCCGAGATCTGGGCTAGAGTCTGCAGGACATCCGGGGAGGCCCAGGATGGGAGGGGAAGCCCGTGAGCTTGCTGGGGAGAAAGAGGGAGAGAGGATAAAGTGACCGGGTCATCCCGAGCTCGTCATGCTCCTCTCAGGCTCTCCCAATGCCCGTGCTGTCCCCATTGGCTGCCATCATCTCTCCCGCCCCTCACCTGACCCCCTCATGGTCTGGGTCTGGCCAGGAAGTTGGGGGGGGGGTGGCAATAGCAAATATTAATTAACAATAGTAATGACCATCAGTCCACAGTCCAGAAGCCCTTATCTGAAACCCCTGGCGCCAGAGGGGTCTCAGAATGCAGACGTTTTCGATTTTAGAAGGGTCCGATGGTGCCAATGCCTTGTACCTCAGAACACGGCCCGTGGGGAGTGCGGCAGCCCCCTTAATGGTACGCATTGCTATTCCCGCCGTGCCTTTGGGAACATCTCCATGAACTGGGGGAAGGAAGAGCACCACCCCGCCCCGGGTCAGCCCCTGCTGCCCAAGTTTTGGTTTCGGCGCTTTTCCGATAGCGGGATGCGCAGGAGGGATTGCAAACACGTGGCCGCACACCCTCGTGCGCGCCTCACGGCGTGCCAGGCGCTGTTCCGAGCGCATCGCGTGGATCACACCGTTTGGATCTTCACAGCAACCCCAGGGGGTGCTGACACGGGTGTCGCCAAGCCCATTGTGCAGATGGGGAAACTGAGGCACCAAGGGTTAAGTGACTTGAGGGAAAACAGGTGGTGAGCAGCAAAGCTGGGATGTGAACCAAAGTGCCCTTAACCACCTGGCTTGGGTGAGTGGGGCGGGGGACTCACCTGGCACATCAGCGTGTCCAGAACCTTCCACGCCCTGCGGAGGGGCTCCCCGACCAGCGACAGCCCGGTGAAGTTCTCCAGGCGAATCAGGAAGTCCTGGATGGACCGCGCAGGGTGAGCCTGGCAGATCTCCGCGCCCCTCCCCGCAGGCCCCGCCCCTCTCCACAGGCCCCGCCCACTAGCCTTACCCCTCTCCCCAGACCTGGACCCGCCGGCCCGCCTTCCCGTTGGCCCTGCCCCTCCCCACAGGCCCCGCCCCTCCCACAGGCCCCGCCCCTCCCACAGGCCCCGCCCGCCCTGCCCCCTCCACAGGCCCTGGTGGCCCCGCCCCTCCCCACAGGGCCCGGCTCTCCCACTGGTCTCGTCCCGCTGGCCCCACCCCTCCCACAGGCCCCGCCCCTCCCACAGGCCCTGCCCTTTCCATAGGCCCCGCCCCTCTCCTCAAGCCCCGCCCCTCTCCACAGGCCCCCGCCCACTAGCCTCACCCCTCTCCGCAGACCTGGACCCGCCGGCCCTCTCTCCCGTTGGCCCTGCCCCTCCCCACAGGCCCCGCCTCTCCCGCTGGCCTCGCCCCTCCCACCCACAGGCCCCGCCCCTCCCACAGGCCCCGCCCGCCCGCCCTGCTCCCTCCACAGGCCCTGGTGGCCCCGCCCCTCCCACAGGCCCCGGCTCTCCCACTGGCCTCGTCCCGCTGGCCCCGCCCTCCGGCAGGCCCCGCCCCCTCCATAGGCCCCCTCCGGCCCCGCCCCTCTCCTGAAGCCCCGCCCATCCCGCTGGCCCCGCCCCGCAGGTCCCGCTCACCGTCCAGCCCTCCAGCGCCGCCTGGTACTCGGCAGCCTCCGTGGCCTCCCGCAGCAGCTCGTGGTATCGGGGACAGCTGCGCATGGGGAACCTCAGCAGCTGGGGGAAACTGAGGCTCAGAGAGGACAGTAGCATGACTGGGGCCCCACAGCCGGCGGGGGAGTCGGGTCCGTGGGGCCCTGCTCTCTGGTCCAGGGTCTCTCCCAGTGCTGGCTGTGCAGCGTGGGGACCCCGGCTCACCCCATCTGGACAGCTCTGCCCCCAGGAAGGTCTTGGGCTCAGAGCAGCTCAGGCTCCAGGGAGCCGCGCAGCCAGGAGAGACGCCGGCTCCCTCCATCTGCGTCTCTGTCTCCCTCCAGCCCTCCCACCCTCTGGCCCTGTCCCGCCCCTGACCTTGTCCTCAGAGGTGGGCACCGTGTGCACGGGGATGGGCCTCCAGGCGGACTCGGGGCGCCCCGGGGCAGCCTCGGGGAACAGCCCCGCGAGGTTGGCCTGAGCACTCTCCAGCGTGCGGTCGAAGTCTGTGCTGCGAATGTACACCTGGGGGGTGGGGACGGGGCAGGCAAGGGGACCAGGGTCGGGGTCAGAGGTCAGCTACAGCGGCAAGCCGAAAGCTTCAGATTCAGTTCTGGGTCGAAAGTCGGGTGTTGGGGGTCAAAACTCAGGGCGGGTTCAAGTGTCTGGCCCTCAATGTTGGAAGCTGGGACCAAGGGTCAGAGGTGAATGTCAAGAGCCGCTGGGTTGGAGGTCAGAAGTTGGGTGGACATGTAGGATTAAGGGGGTCAGTGGGGTCAATGAAGGTCAGGAAAACGAGAATGGCTGGAGGCTGGAAGTTAGAGGTCAAGATGAGTTCATGGGGTCAGAGTTCAGGACATATCTATCAGGGATTAGAGGTCAGAGGTTAGGAGGAAATCCTGACTGGGGGATGTCAGAAGACAGAGAAGGAGATAGGAAAGGAAAGTCCTATTTGATGAAGGGTAGAGGTCAAAGGTTGGAGGTCAGGAGGGCAAGTGGAATCAATGAAGGTCAAAGACAGACTCAGTCAAGCTTTGGAGTCAGAGGCCGGAGGTCAGGAGGTCTGGCTGGAGTCAGTCGGCGTCAGAAGACAGAGGTGGAGGCCAGAAAATAAAGTCAGAGTTGATGGAGGTCAGAGGTCAAGATGCGACTCAGATTGAGATGGGGTCAGAGGTCAATGTGACTGAGTGGATGGTTTGGAGGTCCGAGATCAGACATAGGGTACAGGTCATGTGGATGGGGGTCAAAGGCCAGAGGTGGAGGCCCAAGGGAAGCCTTGAGTCCGTGGAGGTCAGAGGGGGAGGTCAGGAGGCCCGGTGAGGGTCCGCGTGGCAGTACCTCCTCCCGCCGGTACTTGGGGCTCAGAAAGGTCTCGTAGCGGCTCCTCAGGAAGCGGCCCAGCTCCAGCTGCTGGCGGACCCCCTCCTGGGGACAGGGCAGACTCAGCAGGCCCCTCCCCCCAACCCCCCCCCAACCCCACCCGGCTCCTCACCCTGGTCAGCTGGCCCAGGCCGCGCGGCCACAGGGCGGAGACGGCCTCCTTGTGTGGGTCGGTGGGGTAGGACACCAGAGGGGCGCGGTCGCCGTGGCGGAACACCTGGGGACAGGACGGGGTCAGGGCTGGCCTGGGGCGGGAGAGGGGCCAGGCCGGGCTTGGGGGCGCTCCTCACCACAGCCACGAACACCAGGGGTCCCTCCATCAGGGCCGGCGGCAGCAGGAGCAGCAGCAGCAGGAGACGACCGGCTGGGTGGCCCCAAAACCCCGGGCCGGCCATGTCCACACAGCCCAGACGCTGAGCTCAGCCCGCAGTCTGCACCACAGCCCCAGCTGCTCATTAGCCTCAGCGCCCCAGGACAGCACGTCCCAACATGCCTCCTCGCCAGCCTCCCGGGACGCAGGGGCCCCAGCGCCTTGGATTAACCCGTGGATTTACCCATTTCGTCTTTCCTGAAAACGGAGAAACTGAGGCACAGAGGGTTAAGTCCCTTGCCTGAGGGCACTCAGCTAGTGAGTAGCAAAGCTGGGCACAGCAGGAGGGAGAGAGACCCCTGCCCCACATTCTAGACTCCCACTGTCTGCTCTCTCCTCCCTCCCCTCCCCTCCCTCTGAGTCTGTTCTTCCTTTCCGCTTCCCTTCAATGTCAGGGCTCTTTGAGGCTCCCTTGGCCTTCTTGGAGATGTCACCTTCTTCCAGGTGGCCCAAGCCAGCGTGGCCCAGTGGTCGAACCCCCAGACCCTGGCGCTGGACAGGCTGGGTTCAAACCCTAATTTTCCCATTTGCAAGCTGTGTGACTTTGGGCAAGTTGCGGCACCTCTCTGTGCCTTAATTTCCTCATTTGGGAACGAGCACAATCTGTACCTGGGAGAGTTGCTTTGAGGATTCATGAGTTCTAATATAGTCGGTACTCCGAGCCGGGTTTGGCAGAGTAACTGCCAAACGGCGTCAGTGATCGATTGCTGCGTAACAAGTTATCCTAAAACTTGCTGGGTGAAGACAGCAGCTGTTTATCATCCCTGGGTTTTGCGGGTTAGGGATTTGGGAGTGGCCGAGCTGGCAGATTCCGGCTTGGAGTCTCCCACCAGGCTGCCGTCAAGCTACAGGCCAGGGCTGCGGTCGTTCGAAAACTTGACTGGGGCAGGTAGAGCCACTTCCAAGCTTAGGGACGTGGCTGCCGGCAGGAGGCCACAGCCGGTCCCCACGTGGGCCTGTCCTCAGCGCTGCTTGAGCATCCTTACAACGTGGCCGCTGGCTTCCCCCCAGAGCCAGGGACCCAGGAGCTGGTAGTACCTTTTGTTTGTTTGTTTGTTTGTTGTTGTTTTTTGAGGAAGATTAGCCCTGGGCTAACTACTGCCAACCTTCCTCTTTTTGCTGAGGAAGACTGGCCCTGAGCTCACATCCGTGCCCATCTTCCTCTACTTTATATGTGGGACGCCTGCCACAGCATGGCTTGCCAAGCGGTGCCATGTCCGCACCTGGGATCCGAACCACCGAACCCCAGGCCGCTGAAGCGAAACGTGTGTACTTAACCGCTGCACCACCGGGCCGGCCCCCCAGCAGTACCTTTTATAGCCTCACCTCAGAAGTCACCCGTTTCCACCTTATCTGGTTGTTTTCACAGATCAGCCCTATCCGATGAGGGAGGGGACACGGGGGGTGAAGACCAGAAGGGGACAATCCCTGGGGGCTGTCTTGGAGGCTGGCCCCAGGGCAATTTCTTTAAATAAGTAAAGATGCATCTTCATACTCAGCGCCCCCCAAATTCCTATCTTGAAATCCTGACCCACCATGTGATGGTCTTAGGAGGCGTGGCCTTGGGGGGTGATGAGGTCATGAGGGTGGAGCCCTCAGGAATGGGATTAGTGCCCTTATGCAAGAGACCCCAGAGGGGCCCGCTGGTGGCATAGGGGTTAAAGTTCCTGTGCTCCGCTTTGCTGGCCTGGGGTTCGCAGTTTGGGATCCCGGGTGTGGACCTAGCACCGCTCGTCAAGCCATGCTGCGGAGGCGTCCCACATAGGACAGATGAAGATTGGCACAGATGTTAGCTCAGTGACAATCTTCCTCACCAAAAAAAAAAGAAAAAAAGTATATATATAAAAATCTATATGTATATGTCTCTCACATAGATTATAATCTTAAATCCTAAGAACTACTCATCCACGGAAATTCAATTTTCTTTATTTTACAAACTGGAAACTTTGCCTGAGGCCGCCCCACTCACAGGTACCAGAGCTGGGATTCAAACGCCTCCCGCTGGCCCCAGGGTGGGAGCTCCCCGCACAGCAGCGCCCCACTCCAGGCACCCTCTCTGGGCGTCTCTCTGCTGAGAGCTGGGACAGGAGGGCAGAGCACCACCTTGTCTGACCTCAGCTGGGGATGCGCGCATCCACCGACTCCAAAGTTTAGCCGCTCTGCGCATGTCCGCGAATGATCGCGAGAACGCCGCGAGTCTTCATTGGGCGGTTACAAATAACTTTTAGCGAACAGGCGAATTCGCAAAGATGGAATCCGCGGGTAGAGAGGGTCGACTGTACTTGTTTCTCTCTCCTGTGTTTCTGGTAATCTGGACGTTAATTCTAAAGGCGTGACGGACAAAAAGAAGTATCTGCAAAAGTAACAGGAGGGCTGGCGGAGTAAAAGTCAGGGACCGCTGGAAGCTGCTGCCACTACCACGGTTTCTACCATTAGAACTGCCACTCCCACCCCCACAGCTGGTGACCAGGCGCTGGGATGCCCAGTCTAGCCAGCGCCGTGTCTCTTAACTTTGCTCTGGCAGACGCTGCTGGCGGAAATTCGGCCTGGGCCACCTCACCTTCTCTTCCAGCCTCACCCTCCTCCTGCTCCGGGATATTTCTGGCACTAAGAGCTGACTGCTGCCTCCCCTGCTCACAGCCCCGCCATGGCTCCCAAGCACCCTCAGGGGAGACAAACTGCTCGGAATGGTGTTGGAGGTCTGGGCTGTCCCATCTCAAATGTCCCAATCCCAAATTCAGATACTGCATGTGACATTCTGCATCCAATTCCTCTTCTCCCCCAAGCCTCTGCCCCAAGGTCCCCTCTACCCAGAATGCCTTTCTCTTGTCACCATGGCCACCATTCTGGTCTCCCAGACAACCCCTCTCAGGTTCTGGTGGCTTGTCTCCCCTCTCTAGCTCAGAGACCCAGGAAAGGGAGAGAGAGGTCACGTGAATGAACGCGTGTGGCTCAGTCCCCATGGCCATGAACTTTCAGGAAGTGAGGAGGGGTCCAGCGGTGGTGGGGGAGGCCTAGGGGGGAGGGGAGGGAGGGAGGGGTGGGCCCTGACCTCTGAACCCTCCCCCCAGAATGTAACCCTGGCCATGGCCGTATTCACCATCCTCGCCTCCATCTACTTCTTCAACAAGGTGAGTGGGAAGAGGGCGGCGGTGGCGGGCTGGGTCTGTCTCTTTGGTCCCCACTTTATCGTCTTGGTCTCTCTTTCTCGCTCATGTCTCTGTGTGTCTCTGTCTCTCTTCCTCTCAGGCTCAGCAATGAGAAGACACAGGATTCCCCAATCCCAGAGCCCGGCCTTCGCCCCGGACCGTGACTCCGGCCTCTGAGACCAAATAAATGTGACCGATCAGCACACCGTGCTCCATCCCACTGCCCCACCCGTCACAGCCTCGCCGGCTCTGCTTCAGGGCCAGGCCCCTGGGTCTGAGGGAGGAGGGGCTGGGGCTGGACTCCTGGGTCTGAGGGAGGAGGGGCTGGGGGTCTGGACCCCTGGGTCTGAGGGAGGAGGGGCTGGGGCTGGACTCCCGGGTCTGAGGGAGGAGGGGCTGGGGCCTGGACTCCTGGGTCTGAGGGAGGAGGGGCTGGGGGCCTGGACTCTCAGGTCTGAGGCTAGGGGCCCAGAGTCTGAGCTGGGTTTTGAGGGATGCATAGGAGTCTGTCAGGAGCGTTTAGAGATGGGGGACGGACATTCCAACTCTGGGTGCAAGAGCACAGAGGAGAGATAGAGCAGGGCCGATTCACCTGGTACCCACACGGACTGCTGGGTACTTCAGATCCGTTCCTTCTCTCTGAGCCCCGGTTTTCTTCTCGGCCAGACAACAGTGAAAATCTCTGTCCAATGGGCCCCAGAGGCCACGGCAAGGCCGGCCCGAGATCAAAGACGTGAATGGAATGTGTAAGCTGCAAAGGGTCTGCCGTTATCATCTTCACCGTTATATCATATCAACACGTCTTTCTCTTTTCTTAGCAAACTCCTATTCAACCCTCAATACCATCATCCATGCCTCCATCTTATAGAAACATCCAGGCCCCCAGACAGAGGGTCTGTCACCAGCTCCCTCGCTCCTCCCCACCCCCTGCCTCCGTTCCCAGCAGGTGGGAGACGCCCCGGGTGACACCCCAGCCTTTGGTTGAGTTTCACCCACTTTCTCATCTGATGAGAAACAATTTCATTTCGCTCACGATCCGAAAAGGCAGCTTCTGAAGAGGATGACGGGAACTCTTGCGTTTTCCGGGGAAGGCGTCGCGAACGTCCGTTAGGAACGGACTCACGGCGTCGCTGGAACTTTCGCTGGAGGGTTGCAGACGCCCTGGTCCCTCCTCCTGCGTGTGGACAGAGGACGGTCTCCCTCGCGGGAAGCCCCGGGTGCAGAACTCGGAGCCGCCACGCGGGGGCGGTGCTGGCCCATTTTCCCGTCGGTCCGCGGCTCCTGGAGGAAGTCGGTTTCGCAAAAGCGTCAAGCTGATGCCTGATGGCGGGTCTTTCTCTGGGCTTCTCCTCGGTCCTCCATCTCTCCTCCCGTCCTCCCAGGAGTCTTTCTACATCCGGAGCTGACCCTGACCCGCCCTCCCTTGGCTCCTCAGTCCACCCTGGGACAAGAGTCCCAGACCCTCCTTTTGTCACTGGAGGTTGTGTGTGACCTGACTCCCTCTCGTCTTTCTTTTTCACCTCACTCACCTCCTACGCCCCCTCCGTGGTATATCCTTAACCACATATAACTCAGAGATTGTTAAAAAAAAAAAAAAAAAAAAAAGAAAGAAAGAAGAGAAAAAAAAAAAAAAAAAACGCCATGGCATTCCCCAGTGCCTTTGCACATGCTGTGCCCGCTGCCTGGAGTGCCCTATTTTGTGTCAGCTCCCCCTGGAAGACCTCCTGGAAATCCCTGCCAATCAATGAGTCGGCCTGCCTCCTCCCTCCCACCGCCCGCTCCTCTCCCGTCCCATCTTTGGTGGCTGTAACTGGGAGCTTGATAATGGGGGAGAGGTGGGGCCGCCCAGAATAAGACCTGACTCCTGCTGGACCCCCAGCTTGGGTCTTGGCATTGGAGGTTTAGAAAACAAACAAATATTGATAGAGAAGTCGGTCTTTGCGTCCCTGCCCCGCCCGCGGGCTTTGCAACCACTCAGTGCTGGGTTTCTCAGTCCCTCCCGGAAGCTATATCGTGTTGCATTTTCACAACCACAGGCACTCGCCCGCGGGACCCCCCGGGGGAGCATTTGAAGCTCCCGGAGCCCAGCTCCCCCCCACACACCCCCCATCCCCCACCCCCGGGCCCACTGAAACCGCGGCGTCCGGGGACGGGGCCTGGGCATCGATCGGCTTTTAAAAGGTTCCCCGAGAGTCAGATGCGCAGGCGGGGGCGGGAGGCGTCGCCGGAATGCGATTCCCAGACACGGAAGTGACAGATTGTCCCCTTGGAGTCGGTGCCCTTTCTCAGGTGGCTCCGTGGGTACATGAAAACGCGCAGAACGCGGAGCAAAAATTAACCTTCGGTTTGGAAACGTTTGGGAGTCGGAAAACCAAAGATGGCAGAAAACGTCGTTTCCCAGGGCAGGGCCTGCAGGGGTGGTGGGAGGCGCGTGCGGCAAGAGAGGACAAGGACAACTCACGCCCCGGGGACCCAGGACATCCGGGGGCCCAGTGCTGTCCTGTTCCTCGGTCCCACCCAGGGGGACCAGCGGGTCCCCGTGTGCGCGGGACTTTCCTGGATTTAGCCCCAAAAGCCCCACATCCCAGGAACGGCTCAGCAGGGAATAACTGGGCTGGCCGGTCACCCGGCTCCAAATCCCCATCCCAGGGCTCGCTCTCTCTGTCTCTGAGTCTCTGTCCCTCTCTGTCCCTTTCTCACTGTCCGTCTGTCTCTCTCCCCTCATCCTCCTCCCCTTCAGGCCGACGCCAGTTCCGTTTCCATCCAGCACCAGAGCTCTCCGCGTGCCCGTCTCTCTCCGGGTCTTTGTCTCCATGTCGTCTTCTGTCGTGTCACCCACTGGGTCCCTCCCCGGAGCCTGGCCTGTCGCTCACCCCGTCCCTCAGCCTCGGCCTCCGGCGTCTGTGTCACCCCATCGTGGCCACATCGGAGCCCGTTCCTCCCTCAGCCGGCTCTCCTTCCACTGTGTCTGCTTTCTCTCTGGGTCCCTGTCCCTCTCTCTCTGGGTCTCTGTCCCCCTCTCTCTGGGTCCCTGTCCCCCTCTCTCTGGGTCCCCATGCCCCTCTCTCTGGGTCCCCGACCCCTCTCTCTGGGTCCCTGTCCCCCTCTCTCACCTCCGTCTCTGTGCCTCCCACTTCTGCTCATCTCTCCACACCTCCCAGTGTTTCACATTCTCCAGAGATTGAGGACATGGGAGACCCCCCTCCCGCCATCCTCACCCCTGCCCTCTCCCCCATCCCCAAGAATGTCCCTCCAGGTTCTCACCAGATGGCGGGGCCTCCACCCCCAGTGCCTGACCGCACCCTCCCCTCCTCAGACCCACACCCATACAGCAGAGGGTTGAGGCAGCCGCCGGCCCCGCCAGGTGGAGCCCCAGGGGTCTGAGCAGCCCCCTGGCCTCCACCTCCCCAGCGGCCGCAGCCGAAGCAGCAGGTGGAAGGGGAACCAGAGAGAAACAACGTGGCCCCCGTGACCCCCGGCAGTGGAAGGGTCCCCAGGTGCCCTGCCGGCTGCAGCCTAGCCTTCAGGAGGCTGTGGGGGCCGCTCAGCATCCCCAGCAGCTCCCTGAACCCAAAGAGCGGCTGGAGGAGTGGGGGGCTGGGGGGGCGGCCCCCCTGGGTAGCACCCTGTTATGAGGGTCTGCAGGGCCCGGGTGCCCAGCTCCAGCACCAGGAGCCGGAACCCGCCGACCCAGGACACCCCACTGCGGGCCGCGAGGTGGTCCAGCACCCTGGCGGCTACAGCCCCGAGGGGTAGCCGGCAGCCACTGCAAGGAAGGTCAAGAAGACGAGCCCAGGGTCCTGGTGGCCCAAGGCACCACCCAGGGGCCAGCGGAGCGCTTCCAGGTCAGGGCCTGCGGCAGGAGGACCATGACGGTGACATGGGTCGTGACCTGGTGGCCAAACTAGGCGGCCCACACGGGGGGAGGCAGGAGGGGGCTGGCTGCTCCCATCAGCAGGTTGTGGTGGGCCCGCCTCGAGGAGGCAGGAGTGAGGGCGGCCCCCGGGGGGACACGGCTCCCGGGAGTGCTGGCCGCTGAGTCTCCGGAGGGTCCCCGTGGGCTGGACGGTGCTGTGCGGACTCACAGGCCTCCACGTTCGCTCGTCCCGCACTCGTGCCCCCAAACATCCCCAGCACCTCCGTCTCAGGGACGTCCCCACCGTCCACCCAGACCTGGGCACCGTCCTCTTCCCTTTCTGCTTCTCACCTCTCAAGTCGCCCTCTGATTCTCTCTGCTCTGTCCCCATCACCCTGGCCCCGCCCAGGCCTCCACCTCACCTGGCTGGACCCAGCCCAGCCTCCTTCCCGGCCTCCCTGCCTCCAGTCTCCCCCTCCACGTGGCTCCAGAGCTGACCTGCCCTCCTCCCCTGCTCTCACACCTCCCATGGCTACCCAGTACCCCTGGACAAAATCCCAGCCCCTCAGCCTGGAGTGGAAACCCCCGGGGTCGGCCCCACCCTCCTCCGCAGCCCCTTCTCCTGTTGTTCTTGTCGCGTCAAACCTACCCGCTGCCGGAACCAGCCCCTCTCCAGTCTCACGCCCTTCACTCCCACGGCCCTTCTCCATTCTCTCAGGAAGCCCGTGTCCTTGAAGGATGGCGGGCTCCATGCTGTGCCGAGCCCGACGAGTTGGCTCCTCTTAACGGCTCCACCATGCAGGTGGAGAAACTGAGGCTCAGATGTGGAGATCCACTTGCAAAATCAAAGCACACAAAGCAGAGACTGAGCGCGGATTCAAACTCGCGTCTTTGCGACCTCAGAGGCCCGCTGTTGACTCAGGGGAGCTGCACCCACGGCCCGTTCTCTTCGTGGGCCTCGGTTTACCTGCTCCGTTCCCTCGTTGTCCTGAGCTCGCCGGCAGGTGGGGGGCAGCTGTCTTCTGGGGTGTCTGAGCGGGAGCTGGCAGCCTGAGCTGGAAAGCATAGGGGCCACCACGCAGGTCTGAGCACCGGCCTCGGTTTCCCCACCTGTGAACTGAAGGATTAGCTTGTTCGCCCGGGCGCTGTCTTCCCATCGCCCCCAGGATAAGGTCCGAGCCCCTGAGCCCGGCATTGGCAGCCCCGCCTGTTGTGGCTCCACCTGCATCCCCAGCCTCATAGGTCGCTCACCCCTTCCCTCCCTTGTGCTCTGGAGTTTCTAGAACAAGCCACAGGGTTTCATGCACATATGTGCACACCCATCCTTGTCCTTGCTGTTCCCTCATCCTGGAAAAACTTTGCTTTACCCCATCGTTTCAGCCAGCAAACTCCTAGTCATCCATTAAAACCCCATTGAGCACCACCTTCCCCAGAAACTCCTCTCTGTCTGCTGCTCACCCCACCAGACTGGGTCAGGTGTCAACTTTCCTCGTCTGTAGGGGTCTCTGAGAGCGGGTTCCAGCTACACCGAGGGCAGGAACTAAGTATCAACTATGCATGGGGCGGTGTGCTGTGACCCTCACACGCAGCATTTTAAATTATTCTTCCAAGAACCGTGTGGGGACGATACTATTGCTGTCCTCATTTTATCAAGGGGGAAACTGAGGCATAACAAGGTTGGGTAACTGGGCCACCCAGTAAATGAAAGAACTAACAAAGGAATCGAGTTTGACGGACTCCAGGATCTGAAGTCCTGACCATTGTATTATCTCGCCCAAACAAAAACATATGGAATGAATGAATGAATGAACAAATCGTCCTTGAACAACCAACCCACACATGGCCTCAGGACATGTGTAAATGAAGAGGCGAGGGAATGCATTCCCACCTCCAATTGGTGAACTCCTACTCATACATCAATTTCCATTGCAAATGTCCCCTCCTCCAAGAAGCCCTCCTGGATTTTTCCAGGCAGAGTCTTCCTACAGCCTCCCTCTCTCTCTCTGATCCCCTTACTCCCCCCAGGCTGGAACTATCTGCGCCTTATTTGTGTCCTGCTGCAGCCTTGGAATCCCCCACCCCCAAGACTGGTTCACATCTGTGTTCCCAATACTCCCCAGCTGAGGACCAGGCCCACGGGAGGCCTCGGGACATATTTGCATGTGCAGCTGATGGTCTGGAGACAGACCAGGGGGGAAAAGGGGCTCAAAGCCAAGGATGAGAAAGATGTGCACAACCTAGGGCTGGTTCTCCAGAAAAGAGACAGGCAGGCCGAGTGAGCACTGTCTTGGGAGTCCAGCGACGACCCACATTCTCGCCCTCCCTCCTCTCCAGCCTCCTTGTGTGACCCCATCCCTCGTGCATCCACGAGCCCATTTTCTCAGCGGGAGAACAAGGACCCATCAACAATTCGGTAAGTGAATAATTTGGCAAGTCACAGATCGCCGTCTCAGAGCCTCCTTGCTGTTCCTTAAACACCTGCAACATTCGCGCCTCCAGGCTTTTGCAGTCACTGTGCCCTCTGCCTGGAACCTGGAGTGCCTTTCCCCCCCTTATCCTCCCAGCCTCCTCACGTCATTCAGGGCTCTCCTCAAGGTCCGCCCCCCCGAGCAGCAGCCCCCTCATTACTCACTCTCCCCTGATCCCTCCTGTTGGCCCCTCCTTAGCATGGATGATGGTGTATTATTATTTTTATTTTTATTTATTTTTTTGCTGAGGAAGATTGGCCCTGAACTATCATCTGTTCCCAATCCTCTGCTTTTCACTTGAGGAAGATTGTCACTGAGCTAACATCTGTGCCCATCTTCCTCTATTTTATGTGGGACGCCGCAACAGTGTGGCTTAATGAGCAGTGCTAGGTCCGTGGGATTGGAAACTATAAACCCGGGGCCACCAAAGCAGAGTGCGCGAACTTAACCAGTAGGCTACCAGGCCGGCCCTGTATTATTTTTCATCTCTATATTGTTTAATTGTCTCTCTGCACCCCTGCCAGGAAGGCTGCAACACAGAAATTCCGTAAGAGGGGAGATTCTCATCTTAAAGCAGTGCCTGGCGCGTAGTAGGTCTTCCCTGAATATCGTGGAATAAATGGATGAGTGGGTGCGAACAGGGAGCCCCATGCTGGGGTGGCAGGCACATCCGCGGCCCCAAAGATGTCCCCGTCCTGACCCCCCAGAGCCTGTGCGTGTGTTACACGAGGTGGCGAAAGGGACTGAAGTCACGGAGGTCAGGCCGCTGAGGAGCTGACCCCAAAAAAGGGCGAGGGGCCCGGGTCACCGGGGGGCCCAGCGCGGTCCCTGGATGCTCCTAAGAGGAGGAGAGAGACCCACTACCCGGCCGGCTTTGAAGACGGAGGAAGGGGCCCTGAGCCGTGGGATGGGGGCCGCCTCTAGAAGCCGGAAAAGGAAGAGACATGGGTTTCCCCCTAGAACCCAGGAACATCTATTTAGGATCTGCCCCCCCCCCCCCCCCCCCGCCCAGGGTCATGAGATAAATTTGTGCGGTTTTGAGCCGCTGAGTCTGTGGGAATTTGTGACAACGCACGTAGGAAACGAATGCACTCATCTTACAGACCAGCAGATGGCGCTCTGTGAAGGTCACATAGTCACTCAATTACGGAATGAGAGGGGAGTGGGAAGTTGGGCACAGGCCGCAGAGAGAGGAGGGTGGGGACGCAGACGGGAGTGGCCAGGCTGGGGTGGGAGGGGCGGGACTGGTGTCGGGGAAAGAGGAAGGAGGGGGAGCGGGGATGGGAGGCTGGGCCAGGCTGCGGCTCCTGTGGCTTCAACGTGCCCAAGACTGAGAGAGGGGCAGGCGAGGGAGGAGCAGAGGGGCCCTGGATGAGAGGCCCCCCACCCAGCCGTTCCCTCCCTCACTCCCTCCAGCCCTGTCTGTCCTGCCGCGCCCCCCACTCTCTCTTCTCCATCTTCACGGCCTGGCCCCTGCTCAGGCCTCCTCCTGTCCCCCGGGACCCCCGCCCCAGCCTTCTCCTGGCCTCTGTTCACCCCCCCACCGGGCCCCAGAGGGATCTTTCTACGCCCAACATTGACCCTGCCCTGCCCCTGCTCACACACCGCTCATGGCTCCCCAGTACCCCTGGACGAAGTCCCAGCCCCTCAGCTTGGCCTTGCACTGTGGCCCATCAAAGCCACAGCAGGCCGAGGTCCCCAGTTCGAATCCCGACCCTGACCTCCTGACCCCGGCTGGGACCTCAGCAAGGAAGTCTCTACCCCCATTTGGGTGCTCAGCCGACAGGAATAGAACCTACGACTTTGCAGCCGCCCGGGGAGGGTTTCAGGCGCGGGGAGGGGAAGGTGTCAGGTGTCAGGGGCTGAGGAGTCTCATGACAGCTATTTTCCGACATTTGGTGACAGTCTGTCTGTCTCCCACGGCTGGGAACATCTCAAACCAGGCCAGGCTGGGGGCGGCGCCTCCCCTCTCTCCTGGCACAGAGAAGCAGAGGTTGTAATTAAGAGCGCGTACCTGCCGCCCTCCTGCCTGGGAGGTGAGCGTCTCTCTGTGGATCCTCCCGTTCGGGCCTGTCTTCCCCGGGCTGCGGCCTCCGCGAGGGCAGAGGCTCGTTCCTGTCAGGCGCGCTGGGATCCCAGGGGTGACAGAGATGTGTGCCTGCGAGGAGCTCAGTCAGTACTCATAGGGACAGAGTATGGTGGGGAGGCGGAGGCTGTGGGGTCTTAGGGTAGGGAATGTCGGCCCCTCCCCCTGAGACGTCAGCCCCTCCCCCTGGGATGTCAGCCTCTCCCCTGGGATGTCAGCCTCTCCCCCTGGGATGTCAGCCTCTCCCCCTGAGACGTCAGCCCCTCTCCTGGGATGCGAGTGCTTCCTATTGGAAGGTCAGTGCTTCCAAGGTAGGGATCTCTGTCTCCTTCTCCTTCCTGTCTCCGGTGCCTAGAACCCTGCTGTTCTCCTGACGGGCACTCAGTAACCATGACCGAATGGATTAGCAGGGTCAGACCGTTCAAGTCCTGACTACTGCTTACTCGCTGTGTGACCTTTGGTCAGTGACTTCACCTCTCTGAGTCTGGAGTTTCCCCAGCTGTACAATCGTACACCGCCCTCGTAGATTTGGGATACCGATTTCCGGAGTTCCCACGGTTGTAACCCTCTGGACAGGACCTGGGGCACAGGACACGCTCAATACCCGTGAGCTGTCCATATTTGATGGATGAAGGAATGAACTGCCTTCTCGGGTTCTCAGAAATCTTATTAGAGAAGCATCTTCAGTCCCTAGTTGGCAGATTATTCAGTCCCGAAACACCGAGGTTCAGGGCACGCTCCACAACCCGAAACGCTGGCTTCCTCGCTGCTTCTCGCTCCCTGGGTCTCAAGGCGCCACCTTCCCCGCCATGCCGGGCTCTCCCCCGCCAGGACCACATCTCCCAGAGGAGAATCCTGCAGCGGCTCCAGAAACCGCAGAGTCCTCCTGAAAGACTGTTTAACCGCGCTCATTAGAAAATCAATGCAAATTAAAAACCTCACTGGGATCCCACTATTCTCCTCTGAGAAGGCGAAAATCAAAGAGACTCACTTCGTGGTTGCAGGCGAAACAGTGGGAAACAGCTTGGCCGGCGCCCTGCGGGGAGTCTGGCAACGTGGACCGTGCCCTCTGACCCCGCCGGTGCCCCAGGAGAGTCTATTCTAACAGGTGGCAATATTGGTAACAGCAAATATTTACACGGCACCCCCTGCGGTGCCAGGCGCTGAACGAGGACCACCATCCCAGCACCTCTTTGGGGAAGGTCCTATAAGTTTCCCATTTCACAGAGGTGGAAACTGAGGCATGGAGAGTGGAAGCCACTTAACTGGTGTCACCCAGCTCTAAGCGGCCATCATGCCATCTGCCTTCTTGGAGTATTCACCAAAGCACGCAGGCACAAAAGTCAAAGGACATTATTGTTGGGAGAGAGAGAACCAGCTTCTTGTCATTATCCACTTCCTTCTTTTTTGTTAGTTTCCTTGATAATCTCTATCAAGGCTTTCTTTCAACTTTTGGCACGCATTTATTTATGTATTTATTTATTCTTCTTCTAGCTTCCCGAATTCTTCACTTTTCTCGTCTCCTTTTGGACTTTTTTCTTCCTCATTAACATTGAAAGCTATAGATTTTCCTCAGGGTGCAGCTTTGGCCCCACCTCACCAGTTTTGGTGCAGAGTGTGCTCATGTCTAAATAAAGTGGCACTTCAGTTTTATTCTTCCATTTTGCCCAGGAGTCACTTAGAAGAGTGTTTTGAAATGCCCAAGACCATTTGAGTGTTTTTGGTTATCCTTCACTATTAATTTCTAATTTTGAATGTGGCCTGGATTGCTTCTGCTCTTGAGAATTGAGCCGTGCTGTGTTTGTGACCTAACGCATGGTCCATTTTAGTCGGGGAAAAAAGAATATCAAGGCAGGAGCCTGATTTTTTTTTTTAATGCTATCAAGTTCATTATTGCAACAACTAGGAAATTTGAATATGGACTATTTATTAGATGGTATCAATATTAAAGGTCTTGAGGGTGGTAATGATACTAGGGTTGTACAGGGAAAACGGCCGTGTTCTTAGGAGACACAGATTAAAGAATTTGTGGGTGAAATATCGTGATGTGTGCACCTACTTTCAAAAGGTTCAAAGATTTCTAGAGGTTCCTCTTACAACTGGGCTCATCGAGTGATAGTAACTGTGTAGGGGGCTCCGTCCCTCAGCCTCCCAGACATCTGGGATCCTGATCTGCTCATCATGATGGATGTACCATGGTACGTACACCTGTGTGTGGAGAGATGATGGATGGATGGATGGATGGATGGATGGATGGATAAAGGGTGGAAGAGAGAGAGAGATACACAAATAAGGAGAAAGAGAGAAGGAGAGAGAGAAACTAAATATAGGGGATACAGGGATGAGCAAATATTAGCATTTGATAAATTTAGTTGGAAGGTACACTGTATTATTCTTGTAACTGTAGGTTTGAAATGTTTCCAATGAAAAACCTGAGAGGGAAAAAAAGGCAAGGCAGAAAAAGGTTTACAATAAAAGTTAGGAGAGAGGTTATCTTTGAAGGAGGAGGAGAGGTTGGGAGGGGGTGCCGAGGTGGCTGACAGTGTTCCGCTCCGTGACCTGGTTAAGCGGCATGGTGTTCGCCCTGTGATAAATCAATGAGTTCCTCGAATTGTTCGGAATGTGGGTTGTACGGAATGATTTTTAAGTTTCAAAAATATCATCAAAGCCGATTCAAGGCAACCTAAATGCTCATCGGCGGGAGATCAGCGAAATCCCTCTGTACACGGTACATCCAGACGGGGAAACACTTGTCCGCCAGCACTGAAAAATAATATGGCAAACCTCTTATAGGCAACCACCTCCAAGATACACTCTTAGTAACACGCACACACGATGTAGGATCATGTAAATGGCATGCTCTATTTCAGTCTAAAATGCTCATGCATGCATAGGCTATTGGGAAGGATGCACAGGAAACTGATGACAGACTCTAGTGAGAAGAAGTTGGAATTTCAGGGTCTGGAAAGATAGAATCATTTTCTCTTTGCCAGGTATCTATCTTGTTTTAACGTTTTTGTTCTTTAGTAAACCTCTTTTCCCAGCTTATTTTTTTAAGGCGCCTCTATTCTTCGTTGATACTCAGTCATCATATCATTTCAGCCTCTCTGCATCTGTGAAAGATGAAAGCATTTGGCCCTGGTTTACAGAGTCGAGAGAATCAAGGCTCCGAGAGGGGAGTTCTCAGGGCTCATCACAGCGGGACCAGAACTGCCTTTTCAGATTATGAACAAGTAGCAGATAGCTTTTGGTTTGGATGAAAGTTCTTCTCTGCCTCTGCCTAGAACTAAGGAAATGGTCCACTGTGACCAGGAACCACCAGGATTTCTGTCCCCGGGAAGGAGTGCTTATTGCATGCTTCCACAGGGCTGCTGTGGGTTTAAGATAACAGGAAACCTGACTCCAAATGGCTTTGACAATAAGGAGATGTATTATGTCACTTCACACAAGGTCGACGGCCAGTAAAGTATAGATTCAGCTGCTATAACAGAGACACAAGATAACAGTGGCTTCGATGAGCTAGAAATTGAGATCTCTCTCTTCACAGCCTGGGTGTAAGCATTCCACGACTAGTATGGGTTCACGGTCACTTTCCACGTGGCACGCCACCGCGAGTGCTGTGGCAGATTGCAAAAGTGGCCCCAGTTCTGCACACCTTCCCGTGTCTATGCTCCTTTGCAATGTCACTTTTCAGATTTTCCCATCCAGCGGTGGAATCGATTTCCCCACTCCTTGAAACTAGTCACATGGTGTAAAGTGTCAAGTCTATGTCTCATGTGTCCCCTCTTGGTCTTGGAGCCCTCCCCAGCCACCATGTGAACACGCCCCAGTCAGCCTGCAGGACGGTGAGAGCTACATGGCTCAGTCAATCCCATCACCCCAGCTGAAAGCAAGTCGCCCCACCCAGAAGTCGAGTTGCTTAGCTGACCCAAAGACGATGCATGAGGAAGCCCAGCCAAGACCAGCTCAAATTGCTGGCTCAAGAAATCAGACATGGTTATGGTTTTAAGGGTCTAAGTTTTAGAGTGTTTGTTACGCAGCAGAAGCTAACTGTTACAGCTGCATTCTAGATGATGCAAAGGGGGCAATGGAGAAAGAGGGCAGGCCCCTTTCCCTTTAAGGGCACTTCAAGGAAGTTACATTGATTACTTCCACGCACGTCCTATTGGCCAGACCATAGTCACATGGCCATACCTCATTGCAAAGGACACTGGGAAATGTAGTCCTTGAAGCCAGCCTAGAGAAGAGGCTGCAGATTAAGCAGGAGTTTTCCAGCTTCCACCTGAAGGTCTCCGTCATCCCCTGGGGGCTTCACCTCAGGGACAGACTGGCTGAGAAATCCCTCCTCACTAAAATGCCCTCGCCAGGGCAGAAGGCAAAGACTGGAAAAGCTTTCCTTGGAAATCTCTGCCAATGAAGACATAGAGGAAAGCCTTGAGGCAGCTGTTGAAATAGCCCGGGGAGAAGGTAGCCCAGAGGATGAGCAGCATCGTGGGGTCGCGGGACTTCTTTAGCACCAAAAATCGCCCCAATTGGACCTAAAGCACCAAGTTAACCAGAAACCAGAAGATGAAGAAGGCGCTAACCAACACCAGCAGCAACCTTGCCCGCCGGCTGGCGTGGACCCAGCCCTCCCGCCGGAGCGTGGTGTGGACGAGGTGGCACAGGAGCTGATGATGGCCAGGGGCGCCGAGAAGCCCAGCGGGAAGTGAATGATGGTCACTGCCAGGAGCCACACGCCGACAGCCAGCCAGGTGGCTTGCTGCACAGTGTGGTGATTTTGAGCCCAGAGGGGGCAGAGGACAGAGATGCAACGGTCAACAGAGATGAAGACCAGGAGGCAGATGCTGGGAAAGAAGGTGAAGGCCAGGGAGAGGTTGCAGGTCAACTCATTGAAGGGCCACTGGCCGGAGGCTATGTTGTATATGGCAACGGGCAGGGACCATGAGACAGTGAAGCTGGCAAGGGCCAGGTTGAAGGACCAGATGGTGGCGACAGGGCGAGCCATGTGGAAGGCAGTCATCCCATTGACCACTACGCCAACCACAAAGGACACAGACAGGATGGCTGCCGTCAGCTGGCGGAGGCACGCCACCTCCTGAGGTGGGCAATTGGAAGCAGAGATAAGGTTCATCTTTCTAGAACAGGAATGACCACATGTCAGAGCCACAGGCTGCCTTTCAGAGCCCATGGGCCCCTCTAAGACCCCTTCGTTGATTTCTCTATTCAGTATCTTTTTGTTGAGCGCTTACTATGTCTCTCTAATATTGTTCTAGGCACTGGGAGTGAGTCATGTGACAAAACAGGCCCTCATGAAGCTCACATCCCAGTGGGGGACGTCAGATGGGAAACATAATGCCTATAATAAACAAATCCATGATAACTGCTCTAGAAGATTACAAAATAATACAAAATTAAAAGGAGGGGCCTCTGACTTTGGGTTATGTCAGAGTAGGTTTGTCAGACAAATAGTCTGGCGGATAAAAAATTATAGAATTGGAAAAATATAGTAAAAACGAATTCACTGTTCAAAGACATTGGAGAGTGATCAAAATCAAGCAGAAACTGAAGATGAGTGTACCCCTGAGGGGGGAGCTGCCCGGGGTCAGAGCTGTGAGTCTGTCCTCTGGGTGTCGGCTCTGTGCCCTTGCTGCATCCTCACTGGCTTGAGGTGTGAGAGGAAAGAGTTAGAAGCTGACAGATCAGCCAGAAAGACAGTGAGAGAGGAGGAAATTGTGGGAGGGAAGGAAGCCCCAGAGAAGGTAAATTTAAAAATCTGCATATGAAATCCATCCAAATCCTTGGCTGACTAGATTATTGCTGTTCGGAGGGGACCCGGGACACCTGGTGAAAAAGCGACAGCTGGAATTTGAAAGAACTGAGCAGACCTTTCAGCTGCCGCCCACTGCAGAGAGTACAGAGCTTGGAGTTGGAATCCAGCTGACTTAACTGCCTCCCAGAACAAGACACACACTCTTCAGAGGAACATAACACAATGCAGGGTCTCTACAGTATTTCATGCATAGTGGCCAGTATCCAGTTAAAAACCATTACACATGTGAAGTAACAGGAGAGTATGAACCATAGACAACAAAGAAAGCAGTCACTAGAAACCAATGCCAAGATAACACAGGTATTGCAATATGCAAAAATGTTAACGCTCCTAATACAAATGTGTTCAAAGACTTAAAGGAAAAGATATGCACAATTAAAGAACAGTTAGGCAATCCTAGTAGGAAAGAGAAGCTATGAAAAAAGAGTCAAGTGGAAATTCTAGAGCTGAAAAATACAACAATCGAGGTGAGAATTTCACTGGCTGGGCTTCACAGAAGGTTGGACATGAAACCAGTGAACTTGGAGATAGACCAAGAGAAATTATCCAACCTGAAGAACAGAGAGAAAAACATTTTTAAAAAGTGGCTGAACCTCAGAGACCTGTGGAATAATATCCATCAATCTACCCTACCAGTAGGTGGAGTTTCAGAAGGGAAGGGAAAGAGAATGAGACAGGAAAGTATTTGCAGAAATAATGGCCCCAAATTTACCACGTTTGGTGAAAGATATTAACGTACAGATCCAAGAATTTCAACAAACTCCAAGGAGGATAAATACAAGAAAATCACACCCAGGAACGTTATTATCAAACTGTTGACATCCAAAATTAAAGAAACAATCTTAAAAGCAGCCAGAGAAAAATGACACATTATGAGCAAGAGAACAATGATGTGAATATCAGCTGACTTCTCACCACAGAGCGGGGGAGGCCACGAGACAATGGAACGGTATCTCTAAGGTGCCGAAAAAAGATGAAATCTGTCGATCCAGAATTTTGTAACCTGTGAAAACATCCTTTGAAAATGAAGGTGAAATAAAGACATTTTCAGACAGACTACATCTGAGATCATTGGTTGCCTGCAGACCACAAGAAATGCTAAAGGAAGTCCTTTAGGCTGAAAGGAAATGACACCAAACGGTAACTCATACACGCAGAGAGAGGAATGAAGATGGTTAGAAAAAAATCTCTAATTAAGGTAAGGGAATTGGGAATGTGGGGGATGAGGCAGAAACAGGCTGCTTATAGTATCAAAGAGAGTGGTCAGGGAAGACCTCATTAAAAATGTGACATTTGAGCCAAGATTCGAAGGAGGTGAGGATGTGAGCTATGTGACCATCTGGAGGAAAAGGATTGCATGCAGCAGTAACAGCTTGTGCAAAGGTCCTGAGGTAGGACCATGAAAGGAGATGAGGTGGTGCACCCTGAGGATATCTGGGGGAAGAGCATTTCAGGAAGAGGGAGCAGCCCATGCAAAGGCCCTGAGGCCTGTGTAACTGGAAACCAGTGCGCAAAGAAAGAAGTAATAGGAATCGAGGTCAGAAAGTTAACAGGGGGCAGATCATGGGGCCTTGAGCTTCCATAATGATTTTGGCTTTTGTTCTGAGGGAAATGGGGAGCCATCGGAGGGTTTGCTGATGAAAGTCTTTCTTTTTTCTTCCTTTTTCTTTTTTTTCTCTCTCTCTTTTCCAATTCTCAGAGCTCTTAGAGCTCTTTGTATAGAATTAAACATTAATCCTTCCACAGGGCAGTGAAGATTCTTTCCAAATCCATTGACTGTGTGTGTGCAATAGAAAAGAGTGTCCTTGGGGCTGGTGCAGTGGCGCAGCGGTGAAGTGCGCACGGTCCGCTTCAGCGGCCTGGGGTTCGCCGGTTCGGATCCCGGGTGCGGACATGGCACAGCTTGGCAAGCCACGCTGTGGTAGGCGTCCCACATGGAAAGTAGAGGAAGATGGGCACCGATGTAAGCTCAGGGCCAGTCTTCCTCAGCAAAAAGAGGAGGATTGGCAGTAGTTAGCTCAGGGCCAGTCTTCCTCAAAAAAAAAAAAAAAGTGTCCTTTTTTTCTCTGGAACTCGTTCCTACTGCTCCCTCCTCTGGGGAGATGATGGTCAGTGTAATGGTGGGTAGTGTTTTTCCTTTTTAAAAGCCAAAATAAAGATGTATGTGCTCTCCACTCGTTCTCCCAATGTACGTGTATGTGGGGACATGGTGTTGAAAACCCCAAGCTCTAGAGGGCCCCCCCAGATGCCCAGGCTCCATGGGGATAAGCGGCAATGCCCAGCCCAGCCCATCAGAACGACCTGGAGAATCATGAGCACAATCATGGTTGCTGTTTTCATCCTCTAGGTTTGGGGCTGGTTTGTCTCAGGAAAAGGCTGACTGGTACACAGGCAAACGGCCCCTCTCACCCAGTCTTCCTCAAATACGTGTCAGGCACCTGCGCTGTGCCAGGCGCTGGGCTGGTTGTTGGGGAGAAAAGGGTGGACACACACAGACCGGGGCCCCACCTACGGGAAACTGAGTGCTGAGACAGACGTGAAACAAGCATACTCACAAATGGGACTGAGGGTTCTAAAGGAAGGGAACATAGTCTGATGAGAGTTGTAACAAAGAAAACGGTGTCAGGGCCAGAGGTTTGCTGGGGAAGCCACACTTGAGGATGATAAGCATTCACTAGGCAAAGAGGAAGGGAAGAGTGTTCCAGACAGAGGGAACGGCATGTGCAAAGGCCCTGAGGATCGTATCTGCTTTTCTTTTCTCCTTATCTTGCTAAGATTTCTTTTACTGGCCGTTTGGCATGGCTGGAATTTCCCAAACCAAGCACCAGAACTGTCTTGGTTGCAGCTAAGAGAAAACAGCAGGCTTGTAACACTTGAATTCTGAATATGGGAAGCAAGTTTTTAGCCAGGGATTATTCGCAAATAAAATATGGAGCGTGAAATGTTTTTATCTCCACGGAAGAAAGCCAGGAAACCAGCTTTGACAAGGTCCAATATTTTAAAAAATCAATTTCATTAAGATATAATTTGCGTATAATGAAAATTTTCCAATTTAGCGTATACTCATTTAGTTTCTTTGAAAGGTATACGCCCATATCAACAGCACTGTGATCAAGATACGAACATCTTTATCCCCCAAAGTTCCCTCACCAGGGAAGTGGGTCCTCACTAGGCAGCTAATCTGCCAGCACCGTGGTCCTAGACTTCCAGTCTCCAGCACCGTGAGAAATAACTTTCTATTGTTTGTAAGCCCCCAGTCTGTGGTATTCTGTGGTGGCAACCCAAAGGGGCTAAGACACAGGAGGAATGAATTAAGCTCTGAGCATCCATGTTCAAGGTTTAACGTCTTCCTTTCCCTGCAGACATTGGGTGCCCTTGAACTCGTGGTCCTGAGGATTCATGTCACCGGGGCCTGGGAAACTGCCAAGACATGGGAGTCGGGACACGCGACTGCTCCTAGCAAGCCCCATGCTGGTCTCTGGCACACAGGGCCCTCCATACTCCATCTGCCCACACCCCTCTCTCCTCTCTCTATGCCGCAGGGGCTGTCAGGACAACGACATTAGTTAATACATGCAAAGCGTTAGAACAGTGCCTGGCACACAGCAGGTGCTCAAAAACTGTCAGCTCTCCTGATTCATGCGACTATTTCTTCTGCAGAACGTTTTAGCTGCTGCCTTTCACAGACTCTAAGACATGCCATTTTTATAGGTACCACTAGGAAAGAAAAGACACAGCCCAGGGGCCGGCCTGGTGGCACAGCGGTTAAGTGTGCACGTTCTGTTTCGGTGGCCCAGGGTTTGCTGGTTTGGATCCCGGGTGTGGACATGGCACCACTTGGCAAGCCATGCTGTGGTAGGCATCCCACGTATAAAGTAGAGGAAGATGGGCACGGATGTTAGGTCAGGGCCAGTCTTCCTCAACAAAAAGAGGAAGATTGCCGGCAGATGTTAGCTCATGGCTAATCTTGCTCAAGAAAAAAAAAAAAAAAAAGAAAACCTGTAAAAATACAGCACAATGCTTCTTACAACTGTGTATTTTCCTTTATATTTATTGAAAGATCCCCTATAGATGAATTTTGTGCACGGCCAAGAAGGAAAATGAAAGTGAAATAGATGAAAGTGTTTGTAAAATTTCTTCATGCTTGAGTGCCTTCTTGTTGTTGAAAAACTTTTATTACAAAAGATTTCAAACACATAGAAAAGCAGTCAAAATAGTATAATGACCCTCGCCTGGACACGTCACTCCACTTCCATGATCTGGCTTCGTTTGTATTCCCATCCATTCTCCCCCAACCAGATTATTTGGAAGCAAATTGCAGACATATCATTTTATTGCAAAGATTTCAACTTCTATCTCCAAAAGAAAGAACTCCTTTAAAAATTTATAACAGCACTATCATGCCTCGAAAATAACAATTCCTCAACACATACAAAATAAATTCTGTCAGTGCTTACATTTCCAATTGTCTTATAAATATTACAGCGTTTTGAGGGGAGACTCAACTGTTCTGGGTCACTTTTTGACTCAGAATCGTTCATGTCCATGTTTTTCTGTACAATACCATCCCCGGGGCCATCTAGATCGGGGGTGGGCAAACTTTTTCGGTAAAGTGCCAGAGAGCAAACATTTCCGGCGTTGCAGGCCACTCAAATGATGTGGCAAGTGTGCAATCCTGCGCTGTGGAAAGCAGATCCATAGACAACGGTGACTGATGGCGCGGGGCCGTGTGCCAATAAAACTTTATTTATAGACACTGAATTTTGAATTTCATGTAATTTTCATGCGTCATGAACATTACTCTTTCGACCTGTTTTTCAATCATTTAAAAACGTAAAAACCATTCTTGACGCACAGGCTGTACAAATTACAGGCAGTGGGCCGCGATTTTCCAACCCTCAAACTAGACCCTGGGCTGGCTTTGGTGAGGCAGTCTTTGTTTAATGACGACATGCGAGAGCTAAAAAATCATTGCCACCAGGCTCTTGAGCCAGCTTTGCAATTACGTGCACTAGCCTGTCATTGATTTCTGATTCCAGAGCATTTCCAAACACAGCTTGTTCACCACCAACCCCCCACCCCACCCCCCAGGCACATCCAGTTGGTTCTCAGGGGCTCAGCGTGCCTCATTCTGTCTGCAGGGTTTTCTTCCAGGCTGTGGACATCCCTCCTGCAGGACTTCGGGCCTTGCCAGCAGCAACTGTGGGGTGCCAGCCTCTGGATGATGCCTCCCGGTTTCAGAGAGGTCAAGATGTAGGGAAATGTGCTTCTAAGAATTGATCAAATACGTTACCTTTTTGATGTCCTCCTTTATCACAGCCAGTCCTTTTTCTAAGGGGGACACTGGGGGCAGCTGGTAAGATGATAATTGTTCTCACCGGGCTGTGCTCTGCCTGCATGTTGGGGATTACTTCCTGCAATGGTGAAATCCTAAATACTATGTTCAAGTGGGTAGCCTTGTTTTGTACAATCGGTTTTGAGAAGGAAGTCATTTCCCCTGCTGGTAGACATTCTTCAACCTTCTAAAAATCATAGTACTCATGCCGTGACTGTGACAGTTTTACACAATTCTTTCTTGCACCAATTTAAGTTGATTTCCCCCCAGCACGTGTTTTGCTTTTATAAATAGTGCTGCAAATAACATCTTTGGGGATAAAGCTTTTTTTCCCCATGTTTAGGATTATTTCTTTGGATTCTCAGAAATGGCCCCCAAAGAAGAAAAGATCTTGACTTTGTTACCCAGAAGGAGGTGAGGACAGAAAACGGGGGAGGAGAGAGTCTGCCCCAGCCTCCCCCACCAGCTCTGGGTCTTCTCGTTAAATTTCCCCCTGGTTATTGAGTGACTGGAGTGATTTTGATTTCCTGTGTGAGGGAACATCCTCCTGGAATGGTTGGTGATTCACTGTAGTCCCTCTTTTGTGATCTATCTCTTCGTGTCCTTTGCCCACTTGCCTCCTGGAATCCAGCCGTTTTCTTCCCCTTCCTGTCACTTTACATGATAAGATTATTAACGCTATTTCTGTCACATGAGGTACAGTTTTTTTCAAGTCTATTTCTTCACCTTTAATTTTAGTGTGAGTTGTTTTTTATACACAGAGCTCTTAAATTTAAGGTTGTCAAATCTGTATCCTTAATATGAGAAAAAAGGAAAAAAATTGACTCTAAGTATTTTTTAAATT